TTTAAAAAAATAATTAATTGCAACATTTTATTATTAATGATAAAAACCAGTCTGTTTTATTCAAAAAAAATTTATTAAATATGTTTCATAATAAAACTAAAATCTTTGATTTTTTAGTTTTTTAATGACTTTTCTTCAAACAATAAAATAAAAATCGTATTTGCTTACAATCACTTGGCGACAAAATTGTATTTTAAAAAAATCAATTAAACTTTATTGTTCTGCTTAATTTGCCCGATAAAAATCTAAAGAAATTCGATCGAACCATTGTCACAAGAAATGTTAACTCTAATGATCTTGAAGAAAAGGATTTAAGCTCAAAAAATGAAATTGGAAAAAAAGAAAAATGCTACGCTTTTTAAAAAATACCATACCATGCAAAATGTTTTGTAAACTATTATAAATACATAAATATGTTTACTTTATCAAATAAAGTAGCAAATTAGTTTTAATGATAGCTTAAATTAAACCCATTTTCTTTAACTTTTCAAAGAATATTATAATTACTTTTATATAATCATGAGTTTTATATAAATATAATAACGTATAATAATTTAAATAATGTATAACGCATTTTTTAATAAATCTTTAAACTTTTTCCTATTCTTTATAGACACTTTTAATAGCAAAAAATATTTGTGCGAAAGCAAAAGTTATGCAGCGTAATTCAAATTTAATAGTGTAATGAACAATACTGGTTTCTATAAGCATTACAAAACTATTATGTTTAAGTTTTTGCAAAACAAATTTAAAAGGTTTAAAAGCTAAAATATAAATATTAAAATTTATACAAACCATCAGACAAAAATAAAATAACTACTGAAATATAAATTTAAAATAATAATTAATTGCAACATTTTATTTTAAATGATAAAAAACAGTCTGTTTGATTCAAAAAAGTTTTAATGCTTTGGCAACTTTTAAAAAATGAATCAGCTCAAAAAAATGACGTATTTTATTAATGTAGCTTCATTTTCTGTTTTGTATAAAAAATTAAAAGTTCAAAAAATGAAGTTTATATATATAATATTTATATATATAGGATATATATATATATATATATAAATATATATATATATAAATATGTTTATATATATTTATATTTATATAATTTCAGGCTCAAATTAACTCAATAACTTAAAATTGGAACAAAAAGTAGTTTAACCTCCCTGTTCATCCCTAATGTATTTAGAAGAACCCCTAATTTAAAGTTAAGACAAACATTACTTTTTAGAAAGGCCAAAAATAATCCTAAATCATAAAATAAACATAATTTTAAAAAAAGGAAATCAAAAACAAAAAATAGTTTTTAAAAATAAATAATAAAAAAAAAAATTAATTGCAAAGTTATGATAGACTATTCCAATACCCTTCTTTTTTCAGCCCTGTATATAACTGTGGTTGATCATCATATTTTCGCCAATATACAGATTTAGTTTCTTTATTTTTGGGTAACAACATTGCAATCAGTCATTTTTAGGAGACGCATACACTTTTTTTATTATAATTATTAAGGGTTACCTATATTGTTTGGAATCATTCTAGTCTATGAACCATTAATGTTGATTTTATTTATTTAGTTTAGATAAAACAAGTTAAAAATAATTTTAAAAGGAGTGCTATGGAATTTTATTATCAAATAACATCAGTTTCTATAGCAGGTTAGCACTACTATATGAGATGAAAAAATAACAGGTACCATCAATTTTTGTACTGTTTAAAGTTAGACTTTACTTATAGTTATTTCACAAAAATATGAACTCAGACTATGGCAACACTAAATAATAAACTTGAATTAAAAACAGATTTAATTTTGTGTTTTAGACAAAAATAGTTTCACAAAAACATCAACTCTAACTGTAGCAACTGTAACAGATGAGACTAAAATATAAAAAATTTTTAAATAATTGATTTTGCAAACATTAAACTAATATGGTAAGAAGCGAAAAAATATTCTTTTAAGAATCGTTTTTTGAAAATATTCTCAAACGAATATTTTTTCATTTCAAGAACATTTAGAAATTTCATAATGTCATAAAAACAATTATGCTGATTATACATACAAAACTCCAAGTTTCAATAGGGTGCAGTGCATCATTCATCAAAGATATAAATGTTCAAATTATCATCAAATTTGGTAAAAACTTATTTTGTTTATAATTTATTATAGTCTCTGAAATACATGGCAGTTAATGAAGCAATAATTGTTGAATACATTTCCCCTGGTTTAATTACTGCATCAAATGCAATCAACAATCCTAATTTAATTGCTTTATCAATCTAGATGCATTGACAGCTTAATCTTGTTAAAGCTGTAATTTCTTTCCTTTTTAATATGTATTTTAAAAATAACTTTTAATAATGTAAGGATTGACATGTTTTTTAGTGTTGGTTTTTTAGTATACATATATTTAAATATATATATATATATGTATATATAAATATATATATATATATATATATATATATATATATATATATATATATATATATATATATATATATATATATATATAAATATATATATATATGACAAGAAAATATATATATATAAATATATATATGTATATATATATATATATATATATATATATATATATATATATATATATATATATATATATATATATATATATATATATATATATATATATGAATATAAATATATATATATATATATATATATATATATATATATATATATATATATATATATATATATATATATATTTATATATATATATGAATATATATATATATATATATATATATATATATATATATATATATATATATATATATATATATATATATATATATGTAAATATATATATATATATGTATATATATATATATATATATATATATATATATATATATATATAATATATATATATATATATATATATATATATATATATATTCACATATTTATATATTTTTAAAAATTTATATATATTTATATACATTTAAATATATTTATATATTTATATACATTTAAATATTTATATATATTTAAATATATTTATATATTTATATATACTTATATATTTATATATATACATATTTATATATTTTTAGGCTCAAATTAACTCAATAAATTAAAATTGCAACAAAAAGTAGTTTAACCTCCTTGTTCCTCCCTAATGTATTTAAAAGAACCCCTAATTTAAAGTTAAGACAAAAACATTATTTTTGATAAAGGCCAAAAATAATCCTAAACTATAAAATAAATAAAATTAAGAAAAAAGGAAATCAAAAACAAACAAAATTTTTTAAAATATAAGATAAAAAAAAAAATAATTGCCAAGTTGTGAAAGACTTTCGCAATACCCTTCTTTTTTCAGCCCTGTATATATCAATGGTTGGTCATCACAATGTCGTCAATATCCAGATTTAGTTTCTATGTTTTTGGGTAATAACATTGCAATCAGTCTTTTTTAGGAGACGCACACACTTTTTTTAGTATAATTATTTAGAGTTACCTAAATTATTTGGGATTGTTCTAGTCTATAAACCATTATTATTGATTTTGTTTATTTAGTTTAGATAAAAAAAGTTTAAAATAATTTTAAAAGGAATGTTATCGAATTTCATTATCAAATAACATCAGTTTCTATAGCAGGTTAGCACTACTATATGAAATGAAAAATTAACAGGTACCATCAATTTTTGTACTGTTGAAAATTAGACTTTTCTTATAGTTATTTCACAAAAATATTAACTCAAACTGTGGCAACACTTAATACTAAACCTGAATTAAAAACAAATTTAATTTTGTATTTTAGACAAAAATAATTTCACAAAAACATCAGCTCAAACTGTAGCAACTGTAACAGATTAAACTAATATAAAAAAAATCTTTAAATAATTGATATTGCAAACATTAAATTAATATGATAAAAAACGAAAAAATATTCGTTTGAGAATATTTTTTCGAATATATTCTTGAACAAATATTTTTTCATTTCAAGAACATTTGGAAATTTCATAATGTCATGAAAACAAATATGCTGATTATGCATACAAAACTCCAAGTATCAATAGGATGCAGTGCATCATTCATCAAAGATATAAATGTACAAATTATCATCAAATTTAGTAAAAACTTATTTAATGAAGCAATAATTGTTTAATTAATGAAGCAATAATTGCTTCATTAATTAAATAATAATTATTTAATTAATGAAGCAATAATTGTTGAATGCCTATATTAGTAAAATGCAATGGCATTTTACTAATATAGGTATTGCCAAAGAAAAATAAACTTAACTGATAGGTTAAAGTGGGAGCTGTTTATTTGTTTATGTAGGCTTTCAACTTCTATTAAAAAACATATTAGACTGTATTTAGGATTTATTTCTTCATTGTTTTTTCTGACTTTTTCCTAAACATAAGCGTTAGAATGTATCCATCAGATAGTTTGCTTGTAATAAAAAAAAAAATTTTTAAATACAATTAAATAAAATAAGGGAATTATATTGGATAAGAGTAAAGTTTTTATTTTATTTACTATTATTTGAAACAATTTTATAATCTAGCTGACCATTTATTCATTATTAGTAACGAAGAAGGCATAAACTTTCTGGCTTATTGCTATTCTGCAGTGCTCTGTAATAGGACCATTAGGACAATTTAGAGCACCAATTTTCTGAATTTAACTGCTCTTTCTGACATGTTTGAAGCAAATCAGATACTTATTTTTAAAATGACAAAAATTAAAACATAAAATTAGTATTATTTTAAATTTTCTATAAATTATCAAAAAACATAGAGGTTTGAACTTCTTTTGTTTAATATAGTAATACATTTTTAAACACTATAAAAGTTATATATCTGTGTTTATAAATTTATAACTTGAATTAATAAGCCTGAATACAAACGTTCCCAATCAGTTAAATCAATTAAGAAGTATATAAAGTTGTTTTTTAATGTTCTTTGATGTAAATAAGTTTTGTATAAATGACATTATATTACTAATAATCTTAAATTTTGTTTAGATAATGATAATCTGCCAAATACTCTGCTTTTCCCAAAAGGTTTGAAAATGATTTTTTTTTTAAATTTAATCCTTTACTTTGCAGTAGTAGTAATAAATAATGTTGCATAATGATATGTATATGATTTTGTAACTGTACTATATAATATTTACATTTACTCATAGAGTTAGTGGTTACATCAAATAGTTATGTGATTGTAATGCTTATTTTGTATATATAGTTTTATTCTTATTATATTAAAGTATATGCCGTAAATTTTAGAACTTATTTGATATAAATTATTAAAGTTTATCAAAGTAAGTATTTTGCATTTCTCATAGATTCTGTTGTAGTGCTTGATGAATATATATTGAAAAAAGATAATCTAATTGCGACATTACCATCGCTTGAAAAAACATATTTAGTGTCGTTCAAAATAAAACCCAATTTGTTTTCACCAGGATACAAAAACATTATTCATTTGACTACTGGTGGAGATGCAAGTGATTATGGATTTAGAATTCCTAGTGTATATTTGTATGACACAGGAAAACTTTCTATTTGGTATGCATCGAATTGGTATTCTACTAGCGAATACATTGTACCTCAATCACTATCTTTAAATGAATGGACCAGCATTAGAATATCTCAAGATCGATATAACAGTATATACTTCTTTAGAATTTATATAAATGGGACGCTAATGATTGACATTAAAAACTCATTTCCATATTCATTTAAAAATGTTAAAGTGTATTGTGCAGATCCTTGGTATGAAACTCAACCTGCTAGTATTAAAGATCTAAGAATATATAGTGGAAATGTTGGTAAGATAATAATTTACTTTTGCAAATTCTGCGTTTGATTGTTTACATGCAGTATATTATATATATATATATATATATATATATATATATATATATATATATATATATATATATATATATATATATATATAATTCTGTATATACAAAAGTTTCTTAAGTATAACTTATAATTATTAATACGCAATAGTCTAAATCTATACAAATATAGTTATGCATATGCATGTTTTTACTTATAAATGTATATATATATTTATATATATATAAAATGTATCTGCATTTATTGTATGTATGATACTGCTAGAAGTTAACCATCTTTTGACAGTGGTTTAGCATTTTTGTCGGTAGAAGCGCAATTGTAAACGCTTCAACATTTGATAATTTTGGCTTCACACTCAGTGACACTATCATTTGGCTTTTTAAATATGTCTACACAATTTTTTGGACAACCTTAAAGTGCATATGGATGTACCTAGTGCAATCATATTCTTATAATTTTTATTTATTTATAAATTATTTAACAATTAAGATTAGTGTAATTGTAAGATACATTTGAGTAATGAGATTCAGTGCTCATATAGATGCAAGTAAGACGTATTTGTTTATCTAGAATATTATGATATTATTGTTTTCCTTTGAGTCATGCATTTCAGAAGAATTAGTATTTTAATTGAAGCCATAAAGAACATAACTAAAAAAAACTTAAAAATTTGTATATATTTATTTTTGGTTTTTTCCAAAATCCAAATTAAGTTCAAAGTTCTTTAACAGCGGTTCTCAGTGACAAGACCTCTATGGTCCTTACTGAGTGTCCGCATTCTTTATCTTTATTCTTTATTTTTTAACAATTCCTTTGCATGTAATTTTCCTTATTGATATATGTGTAAATAATTTAATAAGAACAAAATAAAGAACAAAAATATATATATATTCGTTGCCGTTGTTGCAAGTTTTTTCAAACTAAACAGCAATGCAAAGCCTTTTTTAAATTTTTACAGTGATCAATATAATGTAAATTAATTATTTATAAAATAGATCGTCAATTATAAATAAAAACTTATCGAAATGAAAAAATACATTTTTATGATGCCTATTCCACAATTATCAGCCATTTATATATATTTACAGCAATGCCAATTAAATTGTATAAATTAGTCATTTGAAGTTTTTTATTATATTTATACTGTTAAATATATATCTTGTTAAACTATCCCTTTTGTTTTTCTTTCGAAAGTTGAATAATATTACCTAATTATGTATTCGGTATGAATTATCAGCTGTTTTTGACTGAGTTATTCTGCTAAAAGATATACAGTAATGGACAAAACAAGTGCAACCAAATAATGCTAATTTAGTTTATTTATATTAAAGTGCTGCTTTTTTTCAATTTAGACAAATGACTATGTAACTGTTAAGAGACAATGTTCTTCAAGTTTTATTTATTACAAAAATCATTATTTGTACACAAAAATTAATAAATTAATCAAAAGTATTGAAAAAAGTTGTTTTGCTTCAGGACAAAACAAGTGCAACTCCACAAAATGTTGACCAAGCTGTATTTTGCTATCAATATTTCGTGGCGAATCCTTTATTTTTGAACATAGCCTTGCATCTTTGAGGCATAGATTCAATCAGATGATCAATGAAACTTTGTGGAATTGCTGCCCAGGCCTTTTGGATTTGTTCAAACAATTGATCCTTATTACAAACACCTTCACGAATTTTTTCACAAATTTTTTAATTCTGCGGTTGACGATCTCTCACAGGTTCTTGATAGTGTTGAGATCCGGAGATTGAAGTGGCTAATCCATCACCCATAGTTGGTTGTCTTGAAACCACTGCTTGACTACTTTTGCAGTATGTTTGGGATCGTTGTCTTGCTGAGACCGTTAGCAGAAAAACACCTACAGACCATTACATTGCTTCCACCATGCTTCACGGTCTTATGGCAGTAACATAAATTGAGGTGTTTTTTGACCGGACGACGTACACAGCAAATGCCATTGCTCCCAATGATGTTGAGCTTTGATTCATTACTGAACAGGACAGTTCGCCATTTCTGCACATTCCAGTCAATATGAGATGTAGCAAACAGGAGTCTTTTCTTCTGGTTTTTAGTGAAGTCAGCGGTTTTTTTGCAGGGTGTCGAGAAAATAATCCAGTTTCATCAGCACGTCGTCTGATTGTTCGGTCTGATACAGGCTGCTCTAATTGCTTTTGTATCTCGACTGATGATATCTAGAGATCCTTCATGGCTGATCTGACAATCATAGAATCCTCTCTAGAAGTTGTGGAATGTCTTTCACCTTTGTTATCTGCTGCCAACTTCCCTGTAGATTGATATTTAGAACTTAGTGTTGATACAAGCCATTTTATCACGCGATTTTTATCACAAATACTTTTATGTGACATTCCACTTACTTAATCGCCAATAATTTTCTTTCTTAGTTCCGATCCAAGACTGCCGGGAGCCATTTTTGCATTTGAAGTCATAAAAATGATATAAAACAATAATCATGCTTCTTAAGGCTTTCCGTGTTACATTTACCTTGTTATGATACAATAATGCTCTGTGGAACACAACCTCTTGGTTGAATGTTGACTGTATTGATGTAATGAAACACTTGTTGCATTTTAATTCTTATATTGATGTTCTACGATAAAACGTTTTGATAAAACTCGCTTTGATAAACTGTCTTGATAATACTGACTGATTGACATCCATATACTGATTGAATTACATGTCGGTTTACATGTCTCTTATTTAGTAAAATGAATCTGTGTGATCCTGTTCTCGAAGATTCTAGATGCTTCTTTTTGAGGCTACTGGATGCTTCTGGATGCGTTCTGATGCTTCTGAATGTTACTGGATACTTATGGATGCTTCTGAAAGCTTCTAGATGCTTCTTCTGGAAACTTCTGGAATCTTCTGCATGCTTCTGGAAACTTCTGGATACTTTCTTAAATTATTATAAAGCTTCTGTGACGATAACACGAACCAGACTTAAGAAAATGAAACAAACCAAAAAAGTTGCACTTGTTTTGTCCACTGCAAAATGGCACTTGTCAATGAAATTCTGCCTGTGTGCTGTCACCTGTCAGCAGATTTTTTTTGTCATGGTATGCTATGACTCCAGACTCCTGAACTGTTTGCTGTGGTTGTATAGTTTGTTTTGTTTTTAAGACATAAAATTAGGAATAATTTTTAGCATTGTATGATGTTGGTTGCAAATGTTTTGTCCAATACTGTATATGACTGATGATCTCCGAAAATGCATAAAACTTTATTTTCCATTATAAAGTTGTAGGTTTTAAATTAGTTTAATATATATATTTATTTATATATATATATATATATATATATATATATATATATATACATGCTTATTTATACAAACATTCAAAATAATGTATATATTATATATATATATATATATATATATATATATATATATATATACATGCTTATTTATACAAACATTCAAAATAATGTATATATATATATATATATATATATTATATATATATATATATATATATTTATATATTTTTGTTTGCATGTGTATATACACAAATATACATTTATATATATATATATATATATATATATATATATATATATATATATATATATATATATATATATATTTGTAAGTTTGTATATAAATATATATATATATATATATGTATATATATATAAATATATATATGTATATATATATATAAATATATATATATATATATATAAATGTATACATATATTTATATAATTTATATATATATATATATAAATATATATATATGTATATATATATATATATATATTTATATATATATATATATATATATATATCATATAAACTATTTTAATAATGGATATCTTAGGGATAAGGATAAATATACTGAAAAGGTTTGTTAAAAATGCAAGTTTTTAATGGTAACATACTTAAATATCAAATATTTATTATTATGTTGTTGCAATTTTTTATTTAACTGCTCTCTTGAAATCCAACTGCTCTCTTGAAATCTTTTTTTTGAAGTATATTAAAATATCCCCATTACTTTTTTTGTGTGGGTTACAGAATTTTTTTTTTTCAAGTAAATACAATAGAAATGTCAGTATTATTAAAGTTACTAATAATTATTTTTAATTTTTAGTATTTTAATCAGTAAATAGCTCTTAGGCATAATTTTTAAACGGAACAGTGGTGGAAACAGTGAACAGTGGTGAACAGGGAACAGTGGTGCTCAACAAAACTCTAGTTATAACTAAAATAAGGGCTTAGAATAACAACTCTCATTATCCATTCCTAAACTATGTTCAAGTAGTTTAAAATACAACTCATTTTATTTTCTTATTTTCTTTGAAACCATAACATTAATCAGTTTTTGATTTTCGATTTCCATTGGATCACCCACTACTTTATTCTACTTGGTTATAATAGTACCAATATTTTTTACTTTTTACACCCATTCTTTACTAGATTTTCTTTATTTGATACATTAAAAATATTTATAAATCTTGATGTGACACTTGTGGTTATCAGTTTTTAGTTTGATCTAGTCTATAGATCATATTAAAAACTGATAACCACATTATATTTCTGGTCTAGTGTTTAGACCAGAAATAGTTTCTAATGGCCAATTTTGTAAATAATTAATAAGGCCTGTTTTTTAAATAATTGTGTATCGACACATTGGCATGGTGGATTTCTATCTATCTGCATCTTAAACTTGAGATTTAGAGTTCAAACCACAAAGGGTGTGCATCATCTATTTTTAATTTTATATTGTCAAAACTATCATTTGTTTTCATATACACTTTTTTTATCTACTCATTTTACTGTTTTTTATTGCAAGGTTCCTTTTAACGGTTGGATATCGTAAACCTCAGGACGTCCAGTTAAAACCCCAGATGAATTTAATATGCAATATTCATCAATTGACGAGTTTCATTGCTTCAGCAAACTTGTCATTTTTTTTCAATTTTTTCATTGAGTTTTTGTATACTTATTTTTTGGTTTCATAAAATCATATTCTAGACAAATCAAACATAAAATCATTTTTTTGCATTTTAATTGTAAATCTTTTTTAATCATTTACATAAAGTTCATTGACTTACTCTTTAGTCAACATAAACATATTATGTATGTAACATATACTCCATTTAAATAAAATGTTATGCCATGACAAACCAATTTAAGATATTATATTTTTGCAAATAAATCATTTATTAAAATTTGATTCCAATCTGGTTCTTTAGAGTCGTGGTAATTAATTCCGAAGTTACCAAAATGATGTTTGGGTATAGAGAAAATATATCATAATAATCTCTTAAAATGAGATCTTCTTAATAAACTATATGTATTGAAAATACATAAAGCTTACTTATAGCATATTAAAAAACTGATTGGTCTCTTAAGGTTATTTGGTAATCATATGGCAAATGTTATGCATGCTTTACTATGATGATATTGTAAGAAAGGAGTTCTAATATTATAGAAAAGAGAATGATCAGATAGATGTGCTGTGGTGTTTTAAATTTTAAATTTTCTTGCAATAATCTCTTAGGGTTCAGTTTTTATGGCCGTACCATGTTTACAGACCCCTCAAATTGAGGGGGTTTTAAACTTTATATGGTCATAATTTTTGAAATATAAGAGATTGTTGCTAGAAGTTTGAAGTTTTTTGATGAATATAAACTTAGATAAAAATACTAAGAAATTTATTTTGTAAACTTGTTGCTCCCATGTTAAGGGCTGGGTGGGCTCAAATTGGGGTACAAAAGTTTTGAATTTGCATAATGCCCATAAGTGTCAAAATTTAAACATCTAGATATCCTCTGTACACCACTGATGTGTTGTGTAAGGGGCAGGGAGTTAATGAAATTTTGCAAAAAATTATTATGGTCTAGTTTAAAATCATGTTTTTATAAGTATTTTATTTTTGAAAGAGATCTCATACTGATATAATTATAAAAAAATTGTTTTGTTGATTTTGTAAATTAATTATTAAACTCAATGGTATTGGAATAATATTTCAATGAATTAACTTTTAATGGTATTAAAATAACTTTCAAAATCTTAAATTTTTTTATTCTATTAATATAATAATCCCATGAATGTTTCAAAATTCAGTTTAGCTAGAGAGCTATATTTTAGCTATTATTTTTTTTGTTTTCTGCTTATGTTTTGTCATCATCACTTATAGTTAAAAAAATTATGAACAATAAACAATTAACACTTTTTGTACAAAATTGTTTTAATTTTTTAATTTATGTTTTGGAGGAATAAATCTAATCATTATTAAATTTTAGAGCAACTGATAGAAGATAAAGAAACACTTTTGATTCAAAACAAACTGGTGGCAATTGTTCCTATATTGGACATAACTTATAATATATTTTTTGATGTGAAACCAAACTTATATTCTGAAGGTTGGCACAATGTAATTCGTTTTAACATTAATTCTTATGCAAATGCCTTTGATGATAGAGTTCCAGGAGTGTGGTTTCATAACAGTGGTGATGGCAGTCTTTCTATCACTGTTCCTCGAAATGTAAATATTAACAAATCCTTTAAAACAGCTCCTATTCCTTTTAACATGTGGTCACACATTGAAATAAGTCAACAGTTAGAATATAGTGTGTATGTGTATACTATAAAATTGAATGGAGAAAAGGTTTTTTCAATAGAAAATATTCTTCCTGAGTCTTATGCAAATGTTCATGTTTATGCTGCAGATCAATCTTATCAAGCTCAAGATGGTTTTATAAAAGATTTTGCAATAATAAATGGAAAAGCAGGTATTTATATAGAATTTCAAACTGTTACTTCTTCAATAAATGCCTTTAATGTTTATATTTAAATAAGAATTTTGCAGATGGATTTGGAATGTTATATTTAAATAAGAGTTTTTCACATGGATTTGGCAACGTTTTTAAACCTAATATCAATAAACTTTGTAGCTATATTTTTTTGACTTATTTTTATTAATCATTCGGGTAAAATAATTTCTAATTTCATACACTCAATTAGCTTTATCTTAGAATCAGATTTAAAATTATTATTATTCAGAATCAGATTTAAATTATTATTAAAATTATTGAAATATTAGTAACAAAAGTAAGATCGAATATTTTGGTACCAGGTTGTAAACATGTCATATTTGATGTTTCTCAAATCTATTTACTTGTAATCAGTAAAACAAATATTCAATCTTTAATTTGAGATCTAATTTTTATTTACCTTGAGAATTTAATTTATTGGGTGTTATGTGTTGACTTAATGAAATAAAATCTCTTCTAGCTTAATAGCCCTACTAATTATTCTTTTATCTACTAATTTTTCAAAAACGTTTCACATTCAGACTTACTTCCAACTTCTGTTAATTTTTGATTTTTTTATCATAAACAAATTTTAAATTAGAAAATAGTTAGTATTTTATTTTTAATGATTCGATAGGTTTATTAAATTTTTGATTATATGAAAGTACCAGCATAAGCTTATTTATTGCTTTCTTATATTTAGTATACTCTATTATATATTAGTATATTTAGAAAAACAGTTTTCTTTTGTGTTAGTAAAATATCTGAGATAAAAAGTTGGTAATAAACAGGTTGAAAATCATAGATTGTTGCAGTATTGAAACTGTATTTAAGGGGGTATGTATTCCACAAACATTGCTTTGTTTTTTTTTTAATTTGTCAAGTTCTTAAGTAATACTGTTGTTTCTACATAACACAAAGTGTTAAATTGTATCAATCAAGGAGGTGAAATCAAATACCCATGAGTAGACTCAATAATGTCTAGCCTTTATTATTGTAGTAAAAAAACAGTATGACCCCTGCTTAGATCTATGCTGGCGTATTCGATATAAACAGAAGTGTTTTATTGGTCAGTTTTCTGCTCAGGAAGTTTTCTGCAGAAAGTAGAAGCAGTTGTAGTTAAAATCTGTTCAAGATGAGTTTTTTCTTAAGTATTTTCTTAATTTTCTTTGTGGTGTAGAGCTTTGGTATTGAGTTTAAGAACTGGAGCTCTGTGTTTATATTTTTGCTTTGGCCATATATTCATTATTGGTAATGAAAAAGGCATGAACTTTCTGGCTAATTGCAATTTCAATTATTGCTCTTGTATATTAAGTATGTTACAGTGCTTTGCATATTATTTATGTTTGATTTGTTTTTTTTATAAGAGGCGTCATTTTGTTTCGGCTTTTTTTTTTACATATATTTGCAATCAACTTGATTTGTTAATATCTTTTTCCTTTCTACTTTCATTTAGATTTAACTAATCAAAATAGGTTGTTTATACTTTCCAATTTTTTATAAAAGTTTTGTTCAAAAGTTAGTATCTTTTTTAATTCTAAAGCAGATGGAGTGATGGCTACTGCTTATTGATGTTGACAGTGATGACTACTGCTTGTTTGAAGCACTTTACGTGGTAGCTGTTAAAAAATATCTTCAATTTTTTTTTATTTAAGTAAAGCTTTAATTAATTTTAAGACGAAGTTTTTTTATTATAGTTAGTTTTTTATTTTTTATTTACTACTTATTTTTTATGACTCCCTATAATCAAGATATTTGAAGTAATTTGATTTCGCTTATTACTATTATTAAAGTTTAATGCTAAAGACCACTCAATTGTTTGTCTTTCTACTAGAATTGGAAAAATAAACCGTTTTATTTAATGAATGACGGAGATGAGTAAGAAAATGTCAAACACATTAAAAACACAAACCTTACTATTTCTAGATATGACTTTCAATAACAATTTAACTATTTAAGGATTTTTTATAAGTCCCCATGTTGCAAGAGCATATTTGCAAGATCAGTATGCAGGTCTTTTTTCATACAGCTTTCAATACGTCAGGAGCAATATTCTTTTTTTTCAGCCTTAAATTTGAGCCTTATATTAAAAAAGATTCAATAGTTAAAACTATTGAATTTTATATAAACATTGAGATTTAGCTGATCATGCATCATTTATATCTGAATAGTAATTAACTTAAACAGCATATTTTGAAAAAGTTATTACAAGGTTGCTTTAGTGTGATCAAACTGTTTTTCTTAACTGTGGTTTAAAGGATTCAGAGCTGGAGTTTTGTGATTACAATCTGGCTTTGGCCAAAATTGCATTATTAGTAATAAAGAAGGCATAGACTTTCTGGCTTAAAGCCATTCCACGGTGCTCTGTGATAAGACCATTATGACTTTTTGGAGCAAATAAATTACTAACAAGATAAAAAACTTATATTGTCTTTACATTAGGCAAATATGCAATTTGCTCAAAGCAAATTTGATGCTTAATTTTAAAATAACAAAAAATAAAACATGGAATTAATGTTATTTTAGAATTTTTAGGACTATCAAAAAGTGATGTGCAGAGAGATTTGATCTCATTTTGTTTAAAAAGTTTATATCTAAATACTATGAACAGTATATATCTGCAATGATGAGTTTAAAACTTAAATTATAAAGCCTGAATAAAAATATTACCCATCCCTAAATTCAATAAAGAAGTCCTTAATAAACTCTGATGCTTTCAAGTTTTGTTTAGATGACGTTTTATTACTAATATTTTGAATTTGTGTTTAGATAATGTTATTCTGCCAAAAGCACTGCTTCTCCCAAAAGGTTTGAAAATAAGTTTTTTCTGATGTAAATTTTTACTTTGTAGTAGTAGTATATGATGTTACATTAATATATATATATATATATATATATATATATATATATATATATATATATATATATATATATATATATATATATATACATATATATATATATATATATATACATATATATATATATATATATATATATATATATATATACATATATATATATACATATATATATATATATATATATATATATACATATATATATATACATATATATATATATATATATATATATATATATATATATATATATATATATATATATGACTTTGTAACTGTACTGTATAACATTTGCAATGCAATTACTAAAAGAATTTCTGGTTACATGAAATAATTACATGATCGTTGTGTGTACTTTGTATATACAAAGTACACACAACTATCATCATTTTATAAATATATTATATTTAAGTATATGTAGTAACTTTTTAAACTTGTTTGTAATAAATTATAAAAGTTTATTAAAGTAAGTATTGTGCATTACTCATAGACTCTGTTACAGTGGTTAATGAAGAAAAATTGATAAACAATAATCTAATTGCAACATTACTTTTTCTCGAAAAAGCATATTTATTGTCTTTCAAAATAAAACCCACTTTCTATTCACTAAAATACAATAACATTATTCATTTGACTACTGAAGGAGACGCTGGTGAATTTGGATATAGGACACCTAGTGTATATATTTATGACACAGGAAAGCTCTCTGTTTGGTCTGCAATCAATGGAAATCCTAATAGAGAATTTATCGCACCTGACACACTACCCTTGAATCAATGGTTCAGCATTAGAGTAACTCAAGTTCGAGTTAACAGTGTTTACTTCTTTAGAGTTTATGTAGATGGGAAGTTAAAGATTGACATCCAAAATACAGATCCACGTTCATTTAAAAATGTTAAAGTGTATAGTGCAGATCCTTGGTATGAAGCACAACCTGCTAGTATTAAAGATCTGAGAATATTCAGTGGAAATAATGGTATTTTTTATATTTTTATGACTTATTTGACTGTTAATATAAAATGATATTATTGCATTTAGTGGCTTGTAATAACAAGTTGGTATTTATACACCGTTTTGAAAATAAAAATTTGTTTAAATTTTTATATTTACAAAAAGAAAACATGAAAATTTTTATTACAATTTTTTGCTTCTCTTATTTCAATAGTTCAAGTCTCAATATTTTCAATAGTTCTTTTTATAATTACTTTCAATAGTTTTCAAGTCTTTTTTTTAATTTTTTCTATTTTTTAATCTAAAATAGAGCAAATAATAGAAGACAAAGAAACACTCTTGTCTCGAGGAAACCTGGCTGCAGTTATTCCAAGATTAGAAAAGTCTTATAGAATATTTTTTGATGTGAAACCAAATTCATTTTCACAAGGTTGGCGCAATGTTATTCATTTCACATGTGGATCTGATTCAAGCAATTATGGTGATAGAGTTCCAGGAGTGTGGTTTCACGAAAGTGGTGATGGTAGTCTTTATATTGCTTCTCATATAAATGGTAACCTTGATGGTGGATTCACAACGATGCCTGTTCCACTTAATGAGTGGTCACACATTGAAATCAGCCAACAGTTGGAAAGATATAAATTTGTATACAAAATAAAATTGAATGGAGATTTAGTTTTTGTAGAAGAAAATACACAACCAATTTCCTTTGATAATGTTCAAGTTTATGTGTCGGATCCATGGTGCATAGTTCAAAATGGGTCAATAAAAGATCTTAATATTATAAATGGATTAATAGGTGAGTTGTTATTCAATTTTTGACAAGCAATCAGTTGTTTTTTTTAAACTCATGGTAGTTTATAAAGAAGACTGGTCTGACAAGTTTTCTTAAGTTTTTTAGTTACAATTCCAATATTCAAGTTATATTTATTATTGTTATTTTGCAAAACTGTAATGCTGTTTTTTCTTTACTTTTTTTTTTAAACTTAGTTGTTACTATTTAGTTATTAAAAGCACATCAGTTGCCAACATGAATAGTTTTACCATGTTTTTTTCATTTTTTAAAACAATATTAACTACAACTCTTTTTGTTTGAATTAAAAAGTTCTTCAAGTTATTTATAGTTACCTTTCAAGTGACATTCTAAAATATAAGCTAAAGATCTGTGATGATATGAAAGTAAAAACACCTAACACTGTTTTAAAAAAGCCTTGAAGTTAATTGAATAATCATAAAGAAACAATATGACGTTTTGCAACTGAACCTAAAAAAACTTAAATACAATAAAAAACTGTCAGAAAATGGGTTTTAACTCATAAACTTACAGAAGTTCATTTCTATTGCTGGTTTTTCATTTACAGCATATACAGTTTTTAATTACAGAGTCCATATTCTAACACAGGCAATTTAGTATAACATACTAAAACTTCTATAATCAAAATTTAGTTTCAATTTAACATCCTATTTAGTTTATTTTTTAAAATATTACCAACAATATGAAAATCTTTAAACTCATTAAAAACATTAAAATCATTGGTTAGACTGTTTAATTGGTTAAAAAATTTTATTTTTAAAAAAATAAGTTTTTGCTTTTGAAATAATGATTTATTTGATAGATGATTTTGTGTGCTTTTCTGCAATCATATTTACATGGTTTTTCCATTTTATATCAGCAGATATCTAAAAATATAGTATATACCTGTACAGGCAATATAGTATAGGCCTGCTACTTTTCATTTCATTTAACACCAATTCAATATGTTTTTTTATTTTTCAAAGCTATATATAAATTTTAAAAAATATACTTGAGCCATTTTTAAATCAATTAGCAAATACAAATTAACATCTCATGAGAGCTCTGACTCTCATTTACATCAACACGTCTCCTCAGTGTGCTGATGCTTGGATTTGAGGATCAGAGCCTTAAGAGCTCAAAAGGTTTACATTAGCAGTCTTGCTCAAGATTTAAAAAGTAGTCTTTACAGGATCTAACGTTCTTGTTCCTAGACTTCTGTGCTTTATCTTGAAATATCTTAGTTGACCAATTTTTAGTTTGATGGGTGTTATTCAGTACATTGTGCATGAGAGTAACTGTTGAATAATAATAATTTCCACCCTTAAATTTAGAATTAGAGGGGACAGAATGATCACAAAGGTTTTTGAAAGTTCGAACAGCAGATATCATTTTCCAGATGGCAGGAAAACAAGACACAGTCAAGCACTTGTTAAATGGTTTTGAGAAAGTTATAGTGAGTTTGTGAGAACTATTTTGTAAGACTATGCAAGGGATGTTGTCTGGACCACAAGTTGTAGAAGAGTTTGATCGAGATATGACTTAGGCAACGGAAGCTGGTGTGATTTGAATGTCTAACAATGGATTAATCTTTTTAATTGGAATGGAAGGAAGGAACAATGGGTTGATCTTTTTAATTGGAATGGAAGGAAGATTTGGTTAGGTTATTTTATATATATTACTTGACTGGTATAAGTGTAATAGCCACATTTAGTGCTTATGTAGGTAACACATCTAAGAGATAGTTAATCCATAATCACACACTTTATGCAATCTCAATGCTCAAGTGTGGCCCTCATTAAATTTTCTTGTTGGTCATTCAATAGATGCAAGTTTTATTGTTTTTATGGTTTTTTGTCGTTTTATATAAAGACAGCCTCAAAACTTTTGTCAAAACAAATTTTTTTGAAGACTACCTGTCAATTTAGAAAAAAATATTTGTATCTAATTATAAAATCAACTCATCAATATATTTGAAAAAAATCAATAATATATTAAGCACTCTATTACAGTTTTTTGAAGTTAAGACTTTATTTTTATAAAATGATATATTTTTTTAATATATCATTATCATATTACCTACATCTGAAACATTTAAAATATTTTTTTGTAGTCATTAGCGTGCAAAATGTTTTTTTTATTTAGATGATCAAACACCAAGTGTTGTGCTAATTTTAAAAGGTTGGTTTGATACATGTTTTTTAATTTAATTTTGTTTTTTTTGTTTTTGTTATTGAAATCATATAGTAAACTCTGGGGTATAATTGAATGTATATAGTAAACTAGGGTGTTATTGGTTAAAATAAGAAAAGGCAATGGTTTAGCAATTTTGTGAGTTATTAATTGCTAAAAGAAAATCTCCTCTACCTTGCACCAATATAAGTAAAGGTATAATTGTATTGGTGCAAGTTCGACTTAAGGAGAATTTTGGCCAACGGAACCTTTAAATTGAATAATAAAACTCAGCTAGAATTGTTTTTTGAATTAAATGTTATCTTAAATTAAATGTTAAATTAATGTTATAACATGTGCCATGGCTCATTTTAGTGTTAGATAGCATGTCCTCATAGCACATGTTAGTCACAGTGTTACTTACATTTTCAATTATATATAATTATCTTTTAAATTTTGAAGAGACATTTTGCACACGTTTGTTACATTGTTGCAAATTAACACGAACATCAGGTTTATATGTTTACTCCTTTGCCTTAAATTTTTAGTTATAGATAAATATTTTTATTTTAACTTTGACACTAAATATTTGCAAAATTTAATACATCTACAAAAAGGCTATAGTTTAACAAAAGAAATATTCATTCTACTGCAAAAAAGTTTAAAACTCTAACAACCCATACAACACTGTGTCCACCCAGAACAAGAAAAGACTGGAAAATATTTTATTATGTTTTAATATAATATTAATTCAATGATGCTCACTTGATATTTTTTTCAGTATTCTCAGCATATTTTTTAAAAATAGCTCTCAAGTTTTTCCAGCAGAGTAGACACCCTGTATAAGAACATGAATAGTTACCGGATTTCAAAATACTTGTGTGTTTTACAATTGATGTAATTAAAGTTGAATCAAAATTACAAACTGCTTAAATATTTTAGGTTTTTTAGGTATTTTAGGTATTTTAGCCAACTCAATAATCCTCAAAACAAAACTCAAAATTTTATCACCTTTTTTTGAGTCTGCTTATCAATCTCATTCTATCTTATCAATCTATCTTTATCAACATTTTATCTTACTTAAAAGCTGAACTACATCTCTAAAACAAATCTAACATTGCAAAGCTTCAAAACACAGACTTAAAGGTATTATAAAAAGTGTTTTATAGAGACAGTTTGATGAAAAAAAAAATAATTGAAAAGAGTTGACACTATTAAAGTTATATGCTGCTTTTTAATTACAGTAGCTGTGGTTAAAAAAAAGGATGATAAATTCTTCACCAAGCGTAACACAAAAAAGTGAAACTCAAAAAGTTTTTACTTGTCGTATTTAAAAAAATTAATTCATGATAAAGACATCAAGAGGTGTAAAGAATGTTTTAAAACAACAGAGTTTTAAAACAAGGTTTGCAAAAAAAGTGTTTCAAAAAAAGTCATTTAGTTCAATCTGAACCTTTTAATTTTTTTAATTTTGTTTGTCAATCAAATGCAATATAGACTTTTAAAAAATCTAAAAGTTATTATTAAAAATCTAAGTTATATAAAAATTAAAAAATTTAAAAGTTACGCAATTGTATAAAACTTCTTTATGAAATTTTAAATATATTTATGAAATTAATTTTTGAAAATTCAAAAAAATATATATAGTATATAGTATCTTTGTATAATGTAAAGTATGAAAAAAAAAATTATAAAATATGTTTTTTAAATTAAAAACTTTCTAATCGCAGTTTTTGCTATGTAGTAATAACTGGTTGTAAATTTTGGTAAATATTTATTAACTAGTCAAGTATATATGTACAAAGTCATTTAGCATTAATGTTGCATAATGTAGTTAAGTATTTGTATTTATAATTTATATTTCTTTGAATTCTAATTTTGGTGCTGAAATTCTAAGCACTTAAAAATTTTTTTTTTAATAAAACAACAAAATAGAATAAACTTTTTGATTAAAACATTTTGTCATCACAGATTTTGTTGAAGTGAATCATGAAGTGCTATTGAAAAAAGATAATCTAATTGCGACATTGCCATTCCTCGAAAAAGCATATTTATTGTCTTTCAAAATAAAACCCACTTTCTATTCACCACCATACAAAAGCATTATTCATTTGACTACTGAAGGAGACGCTGGTGAATTTGGATATAGAACACCTAGTGTATATATTTATGACACAGGAAAGCTCTCTGTTTGGTCTGCAATCAATGGAAATCCTAATAGAGAATTTATCGCACCTGACACACTACTCTTGAATGAATGGTCCAGTATAAGAATAACTCAAGTTCGAGTTAACAGTGTTTACTTCTTTAGAGTTTATGTAGATGGGAAGTTAAAGATTGACATCCAAAATACAGATCCTCGTTCATTTAAAAATGTTAAAGTATATAGTGCAGATCCTTGGTATGAAGCACAACCTGCTAGTATTAAGGATCTAAGAATATTTAGTGGAAATAATGGTATTTTCTATATTTTTATGAATTTTATTTGACTGTTAATATAAAATGATATTATTGTATTTAGTGGCTCGTAAAAACGAGTTGGTATTTATACAATGTTTTGAAAATAAAGATTTGTTTAATTTTTTATATTTATAAAAAGAAAACATGGAAATTTTTATTACAATTTTTTTTCAATTTTTCTTCTCTTTTTTATAATTACTTTCAAAGTTCAAGTCACTTTTTTAATTTTTTATTTTATTTTTTAATCTAAAATAGAGCAAATAATAGAAGACAAAGAAACACTGTTGTCTCGAGGAAACCTGGTTGCAGTTATTCCAAGATTAGAAAAGTCTTATAGAATATTTTTTGATGTGAAACCAAATTCACTTTCACAAGGTTGGCGTAATGTTATTCATTTCACATGTGGGTCTGATGCAAGCAATTATGGTGATAGAGTTCCAGGAGTGTGGTTTCAAGAAAGTGGTGATGGTAGCCTTTATATTGCTTCTCATATAAATGGTAACCTTGATGGTGGATTCACAACGATGCCTGTTCCACTTAATGAGTGGTCACACATTGAAATCAGCCAACAGTTGGAAAGATATAAATTTGTATACAAAATAAAATTGAATGGAGATTTAGTTTTTGTAGAAGAAAATACACAACCAACTACCTTTGATAATGTTCAAGTTTATGTGTCGGATCCATGGTGCATAGTTCAAAATGGGTCAATAAAAGATCTTAATATTATAAATGGATTAATAGGTAAGTTGTTATTCAATTTTTTGCAAAAAATTATTTGTTAAATAATTAGTTATTTTTTCAAAACAAACTTGAGGTAGTTTATAAAAAAGACAGATCTGACAAGGTTTTCTTAAGTTTCCTAGTTACAAGTACAATATTCAAGTTGTTTTTATTATTTATTCTTTGCAAAACAGTAATATTGTGTTTTCTATACTTTTCTTTTTAAACAAATTTGTTACTATTTAATTTTTAAAAGCACATTAGTTACCAGCATAAATGGTTTTATCATGTTTTGTTTATTTTAGAAACCAATATTAATTATAATCTTTTTGTTTTGCGTTCTTCAAGTTATTTATGATAACTTTTCAAGTGACATTCTCAAATACATGCTTAGGATCCGTGATGATCTTAAAGTGAAGACACCTAAAACTGTGTTAAAAAAGTCTTGAAGTTAATAGAATAATCATAAAGAAACAAAATGACGTTTCTGCAACTGAACCTAAAAAAACTTAAATACTTTTAAAAATTATGCCAGATAGTCGGTTTCAATCCATAAACTCATAAAAATTTATTACTTTTGTTATGTTTTTATTTACAGCTTATACAATTTTTAATTGCATCTAGAATCCTACAGAGTTCATAATTGGCCTACTCTAATACAGGCAACATAGTATTATATAATGGTAGTACACAGGTACACAGTATAGTACACAGGTACAGTAGTATTGACCTGTTATGTTTTGTTTCATTTAACACCAATTTAATATATATTTTTATATGTTTCAAAGCTATATATAATATTAAAAAAAAATACTTGTGCCATGTATAAATCATACAAATTAACCTCTTGGTAGTTCTGTAATCATACAAATTAATCATACAAATAAAATCATACAAATTAATCTCTTGGTAGTTCTGACTCTCACTCATTGTCAACACATCTCCTCACTGCGATGATGCTAAGATTTGAGGACCTTAAGAGCCTGCTCAAAAGATTTTCATTTGCTGTCTTGCTTAAATTTTTTTTTAAAAGTCTTCGCAGGAATTAAAGTTCTAGTTCCTAGACTTCTTTATCTTGAAACATTTTAGTTGACAATTTTTTCGCTTGATTGCCGTCATCCAGTACATGGTGTATGCGCTAGGGTGTGTAATACCACCTTTAACATTTGTTAAACAGCTAGGTAGTGTTCAAGTATTAGAATTACTTTGAATAGATAAGTACTGTTCCCTTTATTAGAGAATGAAAAATACAGAAGGTAAGCTCCTGAATACAGTTTTTTTTTTTTTTTTTTTTTTTAAGCAATGGCATAGTCCTGAAAAGATTTATTTGAAGGAATTGCAAAAAATCAGAAAATCTTTTGTAAAATTAGCTGTGGTTGAGTTCAAAAATTTCCATCCTTAGATCAATGTTAATATATGACAATTGATGTTACTATATGATTTAGATTAGATCGTGAAAAAAACATCAAGTTTTAGTACACAGTCTTTAATTTCTTTTTTTTATTAATACTTTGACTAGTAAGTTTACAAAAATTATTTTAGGAAATGAAAGCAAGTTTCCTATGACATGTTAGTTATGTTATGATATGGTTCATACAACGATTTTTTTGTGTAAGGCACATTTTCATCATTTTGCAAATTCAATATTAAACACACTAAATGTCTTTAAAACAGAAATTAGTTGTACTTAGAAGTGCAGATCTTGTGCCTTTGCATGCACATGTAGTTTGTTAGCACTTTATTTAAGGTACATCTTAAATCTTTTTTCATTCTGCGTTTTTATCTGACATGCCGTGTTTTAGGCACCAAACCCTTAACTGTGACTGGAGTTTATAGCATACTCTTTACACCTCTCTAACAAAATTAATTTTTAGACTTATGGTTTAGATGAAGACAGGAGCCAATGTTATATAAATGGTATCAGTAAATAAGAACAGTTTCTGATACAAATATTGCTTGAAAAACTGTATTTTTAATACGGGTATATTTTAATATGGGTACTTAAGGGTAAAAGTATTAAATGGAATTGGTAGCACACGTATCAAGAATAGTTTTGTAATTGATTTCAGGTGCAGTATTTACTGGTTATTTGTGCTGTCGGTTTTAAAATCTGATCTAAATAAAAAATGTTAAATACTACTCTTAAAAATGCAAAAAAAAAAAATTTGTCTTCCTGCTAAAAAATGTGCTTCTTACATAACTTCATGGATTCAGGCTGGCATGGATTCTTTTATTCCCTCTTGACAATTCCAAGTCAAGCCTCACTCTTTTCCATGGTTTTTCTTACATTGTGCTGCTACAATTTCCAATCGAAACCATTACGTCCAAATCTATCAGCAAAACAATTCTCCAGAAAACAGAGGTCTGTTTACCATTGCTAGAAACCATTGTAAAAAGGTTTTGTCTTGTATTTCATCTCAAAAATAAGCCTTTCGTGAATTCTGGAGAATCTTTAACAGTATAAGTAATGAGTGCAAATCTGTTATTCCACCTCTCTTGTATTGTTCAGATTTTGTCACCTGACCTAAAGACAAAGCTGAGCTGTTTGCTAAAAATTTTTCATCAATATTATCTCTTGATTCCACTAGTTGTGTTCTACATGATATAGCCGACAATCAGGTTAATCCATTGCTTGACATTCGTATCACTCCAGCTTCTGTATCTAAAGTGATTTCCTGCTTAGATTTTTCCACAGATTTTTCATAGTGGTTCGGACAAGATACCTATTAAAGTCTTGCAGAAGTCCGGAGCTGTTGTCTAGACTTTCAAAACTATTTAACAACTGCTTATCAGAGTTTTGCTTTTTAGCAATATAAACCCTTATTTTCCAAAATCCAATCTAATCTAATATCCTTATTTTCCAAAATTCTGGAGAGAGATCTGACTTATCATAACCAGGGTTTTTGAATCTTTAATTAACAAACACTTAATCCCTCACCTTGGTTTTAATAACTTTCTGACTGTTAGTATGGATTTCGATCTTCTCATTCTACAGTTGATTTGCTAACAGTAATAACCGATAGGTTTTATAGTGCATTAGATAGATGTGGAAAGGTTAAGGCTATTGCTCTTGACATTTCTAAAGCTTTTGATAAAGTTTAACATGCTGGTCTTCTTCATAAGTTTTATTCTTACAGTGTATCAGGTAACATCTTTAAAATGATTGAATCCTTCCTTTCCAATCGTAGTATGGAAAAGAAGGATTGTTGTCATCAAGGGACTCTTCTTCATATCCTGTAACTTCAGGGGTTCCTCAAGATTTTATCCTTGGCCCTTTAATGTTTTTAATTTATATTAACAATCTTCCAGATTTTCTCAGATCTAAGGTTACATTGTTTGCTGATGATACTACTATTTAGTTTGTCTTGATAAGAAGCCAATACTCTCTGATTGCTTGGAGTGGGTATTTAAACGTAGGTATTTAAAAAGATCTCACTTTTGGTACAGCATGGGGCTCACAGTGGCTGGTGAATTTTATTTCAGATAAAAGTCAATTTTTTTATAGCCAATTGTTATCGCAATAATTTAGATCTTTTTATATTTATGAATGGTAATGTACTCGATGAGTCATCTATCCTTCATCTTCTAGGATCAACTCTTACTTCCAAAATTGCAAAATTTGCTCCTGCTAAAGTTGCATCTCCTTATCGTGCTTGCCACTTTCTTACACTGGATTCTATTCTTTATCTTTATAAATCTCAAATTTGTCCTTGTATGGAATGCTGTTGTCTTATCTGGGATGGATCTTCCAATGATGCCCTTTCTCTTTTAGACAAGGTACAAAAACATATTGTTTACATAGTTAGTACTGCTCTTGCAGCAAACCCCCAACCATTATCACATCATTGTAATGTTGCTTCTCTTTCTCTTTTATTTCAAATGCTATAATGGGGACTGTTCTAAAGAACTAGCTTCTCTTGTGCCACCTACTAATATTCATTCTCGTGTTACTTGTCATTCAATTAATTTTTCTGGGAATTTTCCTAAGTGCTCCTAAAACTCTTATTCATCTAGTTTTTTTCTTCCAACATCAGTTCTTTGGAATTCCCTTCCTTCATCTTGCTTTCGCAAACAATATAATTTGCAATCTTTTAAGTTGTCTGTCAATTGTTATCTTGCTCTATAAGCTTCATCTTTTCTGTTTCAGTAACTTCCAACTCTAATAGTGGTTTTTTTCAGCTTTGTTGAAACAAAGATGTTAAATAAAAAAAAAAAGATGTGATAGTCGCACTTGATTTATGAATCAATGTAGATTTTGAAGCCTACACTTGAAGCCTACATTAATTTTTCTTGTTGGTCAGTAAATTGATTGTTTTATTGTTTTTATGGTTTTGGTCATTTTTTTATACATAGTTTTGTATAAATATTTGTATAAATATCTAATCATAAAAGCAACTCTATTTATTTTTATTATTTATTATTTGAGTTTTTTTATTTTATCATTTATTATTTGAGTTTTTTTTTTAATATATTTGAAAAAACTCGATAATATATTAAACACTCTATTACAGTTATTGAAGTTAAAAATTTTTTTTATATAAAACAACATTTTTTTTTTTAATATCATTATCAGTTCATCTACATCTAAAACATTTAAAATATTCTTTTCACATAGTGATCAGCATGCAAAATGTTTTTTTTATTTAGATGATCAAACGCCAAGTGCTGTGCTAATTTTGAAAGGTTGGTTTGAATAAATTATTTTTTTTTTCTTTTCTTATTAAAGTCATATAGTAAACTAAGGTATAATCAAATGTTTAAAGTAACTTGGGGTATTATTAAATAAAAAAATGGTGTTCCATTTTTATTAGTTTTGCATTTTGTATTGCTAAAAAAAAAGTGCATGTAGGGAGAGAATTTTCTCCTCTATCTAAATGTTTAGTTATATTGGTGCAAGTTTGATTAAGGAGAATTTTGGAAATTGGAACTTTTAAATTAAATAACATAACTTAGTGAGAATTGTTTTTTTTTTCAATAGTATGTGGTCACTTTTTAGTGTTAGATAACATGTCCACATCACACATGTTAGTCACAGTGTTACTCACATTTTCAATTATATATAATTCACTTTTAAATTTTGAAGAGATATATGTTTGTTACAATGCTGCAGGTTAATTAAACATCAGGTTGATATGTTTACTTTTTTTTCTTTAATTAGAAGTCATAGATGAATTTTTTTATTTTAATTTTGATACAAGTTACTTGCAAAATTTAATCCTTCTGCAAAATGTCTGAAATGATTGTAAATTTTGGTAAACATATTTATTAACTAATCTATATATTATTGGCTAACTTAATAGTGTTAGTAGTAGTAGTAGTAGTAGTAGTAGTAGTAGTAGTAGTAGTAGTAGTAGTAGTAGTAGTAGTAGTAGTAGTAGTAGTAGTAGTAGTAGTAGTAGTAGTAGTAGTAGTAGTAGTAGTAGTAGTAGTAGTAGTAGTTATTACATTGTTTTAAAAATATTCGCTTGAGTATGTGCCAGTGTGGCCAAGTGGATAAGGCGTTGAGCTTCTGAACAAGTAAGCTGAGGTTGGATTTTTTTTTTTTCAATTTTTTGTTCTTATTTTAAAATAAAAATACTTTTGAAGTTTTATAAAGATTATATAATTATATACAAACATTTTATTCAGGATTGTATGTCATAAGTAAACGTTTTGTTTTGATTTTTTGCATGTATGTTATTATATTTTAAAAAATTGACAAGATTGAAAAAACAGGAAACTTATTGTCTCATCCAAGTGGAAAATTCGAAACTTTAATTTTAGATTTGCCTCTTTCTTGATAATTTCTGATTGCTAAAATTACGTTTTTTGCTTATTGGACCGTTAAAAATGATAGTCAAGGCTTTTTCATAAATCATAGTAGCCACAATATATTTCCGTATGTGACGTCTCTTTGTAGCAAAAAACTAGAAAAACAAACAAGAAATAATTTGATTTAAGTTTTTTAAAAAAACTCCTTCTATTAAAGATATATGGAGTATATTTTTATGGGATATATTCTAATAAAGACAAAAGCTATTTATTTATTACTATTGTAATGAATGCAATCTCTTATCCGTTGAAATGATATATTTGTACCGGTTTTATATATTTTTATGCAATTGTATGCAACAATTAAAATTAATCAATGTAAGATGCAAAAGAAAACTTGACGCATAAAGGTTTATTTTTCCACAAACCGACTTCAATGCGCAAAAGATTTTTGGCTAATCTTTTTGTTTAGCGTTTAATAGGTAAGACTATATTATACTTTAGTTTTTAATGCACTTTATTGCATTAAAAACTAAAGTGCACATTAGAATGCACTTTAGTTTTTAATGCAATAAAGTGCACATTAGAATGCACTTTTTTTTTATGATTATATTTTAGTGGTCTAAGGTCTTCTTAGTTCCATTTGTATAGCGTTACGTACAAACATTTGTAAGTGTAAATGTCTTTAGCAGATGTTGAGTTTGCATGTATTATATAGAGATAATTGTGTATAATACATCTACAAAATGAGAAAACTTTAAAATTTTATTTTAAGTTTTAAAAATCTTTTTTGCTACATTATTATTTTTTTGTTATATGTATATAAGCATTATTTAAAAAAATTTCAAAGTTTATCACGCTGAGGGAAAGTCTTAAACCTCCCCAAACAAAACTGATGACAGCGCACTTAACTACTGAGCTATCAAATGAAATGCATTTAGTAGAAAAATAAACCTAATTACAAGTCTTTTATAAGCTCTACATATGCGGAAAAGGTGTACATGTTTTTAGTCTTGAGTGTTTTTTTCAGAACAAATTGTTTTACTAAAAAATATTGAATTAAATAAGGAATAGGTATATAAATATTCAGTGCAGAATAGATATGGATAAAAATGGTAGGCTTGGTTAAGACCCGTATTTTACGGACCTGGAAAGCTAGGATGTATAGGGAAAAAGTATAGAAAAATTCGGTTTGGAATAGACTTACAAAGACCGGTATTTTTACGAGGCCATTCTCAGCTAGTCAAGTATATATGTACAAAGTCATTTAGTATTAATGTAGCATAAGTAGTTAAGTATTTTTATTTATAATTTATATTTTCTTTAATTTTCGAGCTGAAATTCTAAGCACTTTAAAAAATGTTTTAAAAAGAGTTCTTTTGAAATTCTTTTTTTTTTAAATTTAAAATAGAGCAAATAATAGAAGACAAAGAAACACCCTTGTCTCAAGGAAACCTGGTTGCAGTTATTCCAAGATTAGAAAAGTCTTATAGAATATTTTTTGATGTGAAACCAAATTCATTTTCACAAGGTTGGCGCAATGTTATTCATTTCACAGTTGGATCTGATTCAAGCAATTATGGTGACAGAGTTCCAGCTGTGTGGTTTCATGAAAGTGGTGATGGAAGTCTTTATATTGCTTCTCATATAAATGGTAATCTTGATAGTGGGTTCACAACGATGCCTATTCTACTTAATGAGTGGTCACTCTTTGAAATAAGCCAACAGTTAGAGGGAGATAAATTTGCATATAGAATAAAATTGAATGGAGATTTAGTTTTTGTAGAAGAAAATACACAACCAACTACCTTTGATAATGTTCAAGTTTATGTGTCGGATCCATGGTGCAAAGTTCAAAATGGCTCAATAAAAAATCTTAAAATTAATAATGGATTATTAGGTAAGTTGTTATTCAATTTTAATTTCAAATTCAAATTTAATTTTTGACTAAGATTCAGATTTTTTTTAAACAAACAAAAAGTTTATAAAAAAAGACAATTTTGACAAGGTTTTCTTAAGTTTCCTAGTTACACATACAATATTCAAGTTATTTTTATTATTGTTACTTTGCATGTATTAATGAATAACCTTAAAAAATCAAAAGTGATTGAATTTAGTTTGTCTGAAATTATCTACAACCTAAAAAAACTTAAATACTATTAAAAATTGTATCAAAAAATGGGTTAAAATGGGTTCTAATCAATTAATTTATAAAAATTCATTTCTATTGTTAGATTTTTATTTACAGCTTATTCATAGAATCTAGAATCCTACAGAGTTTATAATCAGCCAACTCTAAAACATGCATTTTGCTATACACCTGCTGCTTTTCATCTTATTTAACACCAATTCAAAGTATTTTTTTATGTTTCAAAGCTGTATATAATAAAAAAAAATACTTGTGCCATGTATAAATCAATTAGCAAACAATTTTTTTCTCTTGGGTGTTCCAACTCTCACTTATGGTCAACGCGTTTCTTCAGTGCTTGGTTTTGAGGACCACAGCCATATGAGCCTTGTCAATTGAATTAGGTTTGCAGTCTTGCTTAAGATCTTTTTTTAAAATGGAATCTTTACAGGACCTGATCTTTTTCTAGACTTCTGTGTTTTATCTTGAAACATCTTAGTTGACCAATTTTTGGTTTGATGGCTGTCATCCAGTACATGGTGCATGCACTAGGGTGTGTAATAACACCTTTAACATTTGGGAAACAGCTAGGCAGTGTTTAAGTATTACAATTACTTTGAATAGATCAGGACTGTTCTCTTTTTTAGAGAACACAAGATACAAAAGTTAAGCCTTCCATAACAGTTTTTTTTTAAGCATTGTGCATTGTTAGCAATTGCATAATCCTGAAAAAGTTTAAGTGAAGGAATTGCATAAAAACAGAAAGCAATGCAACAAAACTTTTGTGAAAGAATTCGGGTTCAGATGAAGGCAAGAGCTAATGTTTTATAAATGGTATTAGTAATTAAGAAGAGATTCTGGTACAAAAATTGTTTGAAAAACTGTATTTTTAATACAATGTTGTTACTATAGGGTAAAAGTATTTATTGAAATTAATAGCAAATGTATCAAAGATAGTTTTAGGTGCGGCATTTACTGGTTATTTGAACTCTCTGTCTTAAAATCATATTTAAATAAAAAAAATTTAGATACTATTAAAAAAGCAAGAGTGTTTAAATTTCTTTAGTTTTTAAATGTGTTTTTGAGTTGTTGTTTTTTTTTGTTTTTGTTTTTTATTTGTTTTTTCATTTTTCTTTAATTTATCTGACATTATTTTTGAAAATAGATGCCAATGGACAAATGTTTTTTTTTTTTTTACAAAATATATTTTTTTCATTGTTTACAGTTAACAGTGCATTTATTTATATTTTATTTTGAATAATAAGTTTTTTTGTTGTTTTGACTTTTATAGTTCTGATAATACAACTGATTTTCTGACAAGATAATTTGTACTGCCAGATAACACAGTCACACTTGTTTTATGCGATAATGTAGATGTTTATAGTATTGTATTTATATTACTTAACTGATATAAGTTTTATAGCCATATTTGGTCCTTATGTAGGTACCACCTAAGATATTAAATTCTTACACACTAAAAAAAAAAAGGTAGAAATTTCTTCTTAAGGTAGGATATGTGATATGCCCTTAGTAAAGTATGATTTTCTACCTTTTAAGGTAAAAAATTATACCTTTAAGGTAGAAAATTCTATCGCAAATAATTATTTTAATTTTCTACCTTTAAAGGTAGAAAATTATACCTTACTAAGGGTATATCACATATCCTAACATAAGGTAGAATTTTTTACCTTTTTTTTTTAGTGTGTAGTTACACACTTCATGTCATCTCTCAACTCATATGGCTATTATTTATTGACACATGTGGCCTTCGTTAATTTTTCTTTTTGGTTAGTTCATTGATGCCAGTTTTATTATTTTTATGGTTTTGGTTGTTTTTTTATGCATAGTTTTATATAAAGATAGCTTTCAAAGTTGACAAATTTTGTTGAAGACTACTTCCAGCATTGTCAACTTCAAAGCAAAATATTTGTATGATCTAACTATAAAAGCAACTCATCAAAATATTAATTATTTATTTTTTATATTATCAAGTTTTTTTTTAATATATTTAAAAAAAACTTGATAATATACTAAACACTCTATTACAGTTTTTGCAGTTAAAAATTTTTTCATATAAAGCAATTTTTTTTTTTTTAAATATTATTATTACTTTATCTACATTTTAAATATTTTTATGTTGAGTCATTAGCATGCAAATTGATTTTTTATTTAGATTATCGAACCCCAAGTGTTGTGCTAATTTTAAAAGGTTGGTTTGAATGCATGTCTTTTATTTTAATTTTTTTTTAATTGAAATCACATCGTAAACTGGGGTATAGGTTAATCCATATAGTGAATTAGGGTATTATTAAATTAAAAAAATAGTCAATGGTTTAGCAATTTTGTTAATTATTGAAAAAAAAAAAAGTGCAATCAGGTAAAGAATTTCTATTCTATCTAAAAGTTTAAATATATTACTGCAAGTTTGACTTGAAGAGAATTTTGGCAAGTGGAATGTTCAAAACTTAATAATATAACTTAGTAAGAATTGTTTTTTTTAACTATATGTTTTCACACTTAAGTGTGATATAACATGTGCCATGGCTCATTTTAGTGTTAGATAACATGTCCTCATAGCAAATGTTAGTCACAGTATTACTCACATTTTCAATAATATATAATTCTCTTTTAAATTTTGGAGAGACTATGGCACACGCTTGTTACTGTGTTGCAAATTAACATTAAGGTTGATATGTTTACTCTTTTTTCTTTAACTTATAGTTATAACTTTTTTAATAACATGACAACTTTTTTAATAACATGAAAAGTTGCCAGATTTCAAAACTTTCATATTTAGAGATGTTGTTCAACTTTTAAGTTAGATAAAATTCAACATTTTATCTAACTTAAAAGTTGAACAACATCTCTAAATATGAAAGTTATATGCTACTCTTCAATAACATTAGCTGTGGTTAAAAAACAAATGCATGGTGGTGAACTATTTACCAAGTGTAATACAAAAAAGTTTAACTCTAAAAGTTTTAATGCAGCATTCAAAACCATTAATTCATGACAAAGACATCAAGAGTTGTAAAGAATGTTACAGAGTTTAAAATAAGGTTTTCAAAAAAAAATCATTTCACTTAATATTAATCTGATATTTCTAGTTGCAAGTTTTCAATTTTTTAATTTTGTTTGTCAAAAAAATGTAAAATAGATTTTTGAAGTTTTTTTTGAAAAAATATGCTGATGGATAAAACTTATTTTTGAAATTTTAGTTATTTTTATAAAATGAATTTTTTAAATTTTAAAAATATATTTTTTCTTAATGATTATATTTATAGAGGATTTGAATTAATCTTGTTTAAATAGTATCTTTATATAATGCAAAAGAATGAAAAAAAAATATCAAAAAAGTTTTTAAATTAAAATCTTTCTAACCGCAGTTTTTTCTGTGTAGTAAAAACTAATTATAAATTTTGGTAAACATATTTATTATTATAACTAATATATAAATATAACTAATCGAGTAGTAGTGATAATTGATTGTAAATTCAGTAAACATTTATTAACTAATCAAGTAAATATGTACAAAGTCATTTAGTATTAATGTAGCATAAGTAGTTAAGTATTTTTATTTATAATTTATATTTTCTTTAATTTTTGAGCTGAAATTCTAAGCACTCCAAAAATTATTTTAAAAAAAAAATCTTTTTTAATTTTTTTTTTTTAATTTAAAATAGAGCAAATAATAGAAGACAAAGAAACACCCTTGTCTCAAGGAAACCTGGTTGCAGTTATTCCAAGATTAGAAAAGTCTTATAGAATATTTTTTGATGTGAAACCAAATTCATTTTTACAAGGTTGGCGCAATGTTATTCATTTCACATGTGGGTCTGATTCAAGCAATTATGGTGATAGAGTTCCAGCTGTGTGGTTTCACGAAAGTGGTGATGGTAGTCTTTATATTGCTTCTCATATAAATGGTAACCTTGATAGTGGATTCACAACAATGCCTGTTCCACTTAATGAGTGGTCGCTCATTGAAATTAGCCAACAGTTGGAAGGAGATAAATTTGCATATAGAATAAAATTGAATGGAGATTTAGTTTTTGTAGAAGAAAATACACAACCAACTACCTTTGATAATGTTCAAGTTTATGTGTCGGATCCATGGTGCAAAGTTCAAAATGGCTCAATAAAAAATCTTAAAATTAATAATGGATTAAAAGGTGAGTTGTTATTCAATTTTTGATAAACAATCAAATATTTTTTTTAAACAACTTTAAGGTAGTTTATAAAATTCACAGGTCTGATAAGGTTTTCTTTAGTTGTTCAATAAAACTTATAATATTTAAGTTATTTTTATTGTTACTTTGCAAAACAGTAATACTGTTTTTTCTTTGAAATAAAGTTGGTACTATTTAGTTATTAAAAGCACATTGGTTACCAATATAAATGGTTTTATAGTTATCATATTTTTGGCTCTTATTACATGATAGTCATTATCCAGTACTTTGTGAATACACTAGGGTGTGTAGTACACACCTTTAAACTTTTACCATAATACTTTCAATTGATCGGAACTGTTCTCTTTGTTAGAGAACACAGGATACAAAAGATATATAAGATACTTTTCATAGCAGTTTTTTTTTCAAGCATAGTGAATTTGTAGCAATGGCGTAGTCCTGAAAAGGTTTAAGTGATGCAATTGAATAAAAACAGAAAATACTGCAACAAAATGTTTGTGAAAGTAACTGCAATTGAGTTCAAAAGTAATAACTTCTAACCTTATGTTAATAAATGTCAATAAATATATGTCAAGAAAAGTACATTAGTTTCTAGTACACAATCTTCTATCTAATATTTATATAAAAACTTTGATTTGTAACTCTATCATAACCAAGTTAATAAATCAAAGTAAGTTGTGTACGACTAGGATGTTATGTTATATAATATATGAAATGATTTTTTTGTGAAAAGCACATTTCACCATTTTGCAAATTCAAAACACATATCTTGTATTTTTGTATGCACATCTAGTTTGTTAGCACTTTATTGTCAGCACAACTTAGATCTCTTTTTTTTTCTTATTTTCCCTGTTCATATTACTTTCCCTGTTTTAGGTACCAAACTCTAAACCATGACAGGAATTTACAGCATATCATTTAGAATTCTCTGATAAAGTAAATTAAGTAAACCTGTAATTCAGTTGAATTTATAGACCAGAGCCAATGTTTTATAAATGGTAATTAAGATCTAGTTCTGGTATGATTGTGGCTTAGAAAACTGTCTCTTGAATGTAAAAATGATATTTTAAAATAAAAGTATTACATTCACACACATATTAAGGATAATTTGTAATTGTTTTTAGGTGCAGTATTGTGTATTTTTTTTTTGAGCTCTTGATGTAAAAATCTAATCTAAATCAATAAGTTTCAAACACTTTTAAAAATGCAGTTTTTTAAATCTTTTTGTTGTTAAAGGTTGTTTTTTTTTTCCTGTATTTTTTTTATTTAGTTTTTTTTTTTTTTTTTTTTGTATATATATATTTTTTTATTACTATTTTTTTTTTAATTAAAATACCAATGAAACAAATGTTGTTTTTGTTTAGAAAAATGTTGTTTTTTTTCATTGGTTACAGTTAAGAGTGTATTTTTTTTATATTTTTATTTTGAATAGTAGGTTCTGACTTTACAACGGTACATAAAATAATTAACTGTATGTATATATATATATATATATATATATATATATATATATATATATATATATATATATATATATATATATATATATATATATATATATATATTCATAAGCAAGACAAGTTTTTTAATTTTTAAAAACCATTTTTTAAATAAAAAACAATACAGGTTTTAACTAACACTAGTCATCTTCAGTTAAAATTAAATATTTATAATTTGATAAAATACCTTCAAAGGTGTTAAAAAAAAACAATACAAAATATAATTATTCTTGTACAAACTAGTAATAATATAATTACAAAAATACAATAAAATCAGTTAAAAAATTGTTATACAAAAGAAATTGGAAATAACAAAAGAATAGGTTAAAAAGATATGCAATATGTATAAAAAATAACAGCTAAAAAGAAAGTGTCATTTTTACATGGTTAACCTGTTTATTCATACCAGGTTTTAACCATTCTATAAATATATTTTCTTTAAGTTTTAGCTCAAATTTGTTAGATGTCGAATCAAACACAGAAAAACACTTATCATTTATTTGCATAAAACAATTTTCATTTTTAAGGAGATGTTTATAGATATGAGACTTTTGGTCCCTTTTGTAATGTTCAGATATCCAGGTCTTGAGATGGCAAGTAGTTTCGCATATATAACAGGAGTTACATCCTGCACATTCAAATTTATATACCACGAACAATTTGAACTCTAGAGGAATCGGATCTTTAGAAGAAAAGAATTTAGAAATTTTAAGTGAAGTAAATACTAATTTAATATTTGCTGAACTGCAATATTTTTTAGCAATTGAGTCAGTCTTTTTAGTTGAATCAGATATTTTTCCCAAAATACAGCAGTTTAAAATAAGACAAAGACTCTTTGATATTTGGATGTGGTGGAGGGTTTGAATTAATCTTGTTTAAATAGGAGTTATATAATTTGGAAATGAACTAAGATGGGTACATGTTTCTTTGAAATACTTTAAAGAGATCGTTTATGTCAAAGTGAAACCCAAGTTTAGTACTATTAATTTTAAACGTTCTATCAATTAAGCATTTGATTAGACTAACTCTGTAAGAAAATGGAGTGAAACTCTAAAAATTAATATGAAGACCAGAATAGGTTTTTTTATGAAAAACGGTAGTGGTAACTGAAAAATTAGTTTTGTGTAGATACAAAAAAAGATATTTTTGAATTTACTTCTTGTTCCATAGTAAAAGAAATAGAATTGTGTCTACTATTTATATATCTAAGAAAAAGATGTGCGTCATTTTGTGACATCAAATTCTTGGAAACTTTACTTTTCTGTTCAATAGCAAGAAACTGCAACTGATTCAAGTCAAAATTTTGATTATGGATATAGAATTTCTCTGGAGGGAAATTCTAGACTTTCCACTATTATCCAACGCACTCATCAGAAAGAAACTCAATAGTCTAATTGATCTATATGACAAAAACAAAAATAAAAAGAAACCATCTGATAAATTCACTAGAACACTTTCTCAGTTATTTGATATCACCAACATTAATTTATGAGTGGAAAAGCATGGTGGATATAGAGCTCTATCAGAGGCAAGTTGAGAGTGGAATAAATACTGGTTATTCAATGGTCAAACAAGCCCAAATGGAATCAATTCACTCAAGAAAGCAAGTCCGACTATCAAAAGCTCAACCTCAAGCCTTTGTCCAATTGCAACCTTTACAAACAAAATCTTTGGATTCTGAAACCTCTTCTTCTTCACCTGAATTGCCAACCTCTTTCTCTACATCATACTTCTCCTAAATGCAAACCGAAATACCAAAGAGCAAGCACTAAAACAGCTGGTTTACTAGTACTAAAAAAAAACATTTCTACACAAAAAGCACATGATGTTCTTGCTACAATTGCTGAACAGTTCATAATGTGCCGGTTCTTAGTCAGGCTGGTGTCTGGAAACAAGTTCATAATGTGCCGGTTCTTAGTCAGGCTGGTGTCTGGAAACAAGTTATCTCTGAATGATAGAAAATGAAAACCAAAGTTTTTCAAAAACTTTAAAGCAAAAATCTCTTCAGATTGGTGGTAAAAAATTGCAAGGGGAAGAGTATCAAGTAGTTCTGCTGAAAAATATGAAACTGAAATCAAACAAGGTATTCTTAAATGTGAGAATGGGTTTGCCACAGCCATTCATAAAGAACTACATCAGCTAATTGATGAAAAAAATGCTTGGGTAAACATTAGCATGATAACTGGTGACATGAACACAGTAAATACTGGTTGTTTGTACAAGATAGTAAACCTCATACAGGATAATATCTTGAGCAAGGGCTTTCAAAAACCACAATATATTGGCTGTCAGCACCATTTACTTGACCTTCTTCTAAAACAAGAATTTTCTTATTCAAGATTCAACGAACAAACCAGAACTCAACTACTCCTTCATTGACAAATTAAAAGAAAACTCTGTCTTCTCTTCTGGGCAAATACTTGTTTCCATTTACAACACTACAATGAAAGCTCCTTCTATGAACTCTTTTCCTCACTCATCAATATAAAATGAAAGAAGGCAATTAAGTGTTTAAAGATACATTGGTCAATAGAGGAGTTATTAATTGACATTCCCAGATCTAACCAAACGGCTGAATGTGCTGTAAAACTAATGGAGGAACTTCATACAAAATCACGAAAAATTGAATTTTTGAATCTGAAGTTTATAGAAAAAATATTTTCTAAATATTTCTTGTATATTTTGTACAGATTACTAACTGTTTCTTATTTATTATTAAAAATTGCTTAGTTGTTAGCATTACTCTTTTAAATAATTAAAAAAAAATGTCCTTTTTTGAAAAAGGTCTTTTTTCCGATAAGGTGGTGGTGGGGGACTTTTTTTAAAAAAAATAAAAATGCTATTTATATTCTTAAATAACACAAAAGTTTCCCTCAATTGCAAGTGGTTTTATAAAAAAAAAATTTGTTATTACCCTAGTGGCTATCATTTGTTAACAGCTACATTACATTAGCCTACAGTGGCCTACATTAACTTTTCTTGTTGGTCAGTCAATTGATGCCAGTTTTATTGTTTTTATGGTTTTGGTTATTTTTTATACATAGTTTTATATTAAGATAGCTTGAAAACTTGACAAATTTTGTTGACAACTACCTGTCAATTTCAAAGCAAAATATTTATACAGTCTAATTATAAAATCAACTCATCAATATATTAAAAAAAAACTTGAGTATTTATTAAACACTATATTACATCTTTTGAAGTTAACATTTTTTTTATATAAAGCAATATTTATTTAAGTATCATAATTATTTCATCTACATGTGAAACATTTAAAACATTTTTCTGTAGAGTCATTAGCATGCAAAATGTTTTTATATTTAGATGATCAAGCCCCTAGTGTTATGCTGATTTTAAAAGGTTGGTTTGAATACATGATTTTTATTTATTTATTTTTTTAATTGAAATTTTATAGTAAACTGGAGTATAATTGAATGTATATAGTAAATTGGGGTATAATTGAATGTATATATTAAATTGGGGTATGATTGAATGTATATAGTAAATTGGGGTATAATTGAATATATATTTATATATAATTAATTGAATTACAAAAAAACAAATTTTGTTATTTTTGCATTTATTGCTAAAACAAAATCCATTTAGGTATCTATAAATGTAATTAAATTGATGCAAGTTTGACTTCTGGAGAGTTTTAGCAATTGCAACATTCAAAACTAAAGAATATAATCAATTTTTGATAAATACTAACTTTTTAGTGTCAGAAGAACATATGGCACATGTTTGTTACAGTGTTGCAAATTAACAATAATATCAGCTTGATATTATTAATAATATCAGCTTGATAATATCAGGTTGAAATGTTCACCATATCTTTGGTCTCAAATATTTTAATCATTAGTCATAGTTGAATATTTTTATTTTAAAATAACTTTGACACAAGAAACTTGCAAAGTATAATGCATCTAAAATAAGTCTACAAAAGATTTTAAGAAATAAAAATTTCATTCTACTGCGAAAAAATTTTAAACTCAAACAACCCATTTAAGAACATGAATAACTACTGGATTTCAAAATACTCAATATTGCAATTAATATTAGTAAAGTTGATTAATCAAAATTGCAAATTGCTTAAACATTTTCAATACCATTTCAGCCTACTCCATAATTCTCAACAAAACCTGCTTTATCATCTTTATTAAAGCCTGTTTGCCATCCTCATTCTATATCATTCTCTAACATCATTTAGCATCAAAACTCAACATTTTTCTGACTTTAAAGTTTAACAACATCTCGAAAACATATCAAATAATGCAACACTTCACAAAAATGCAGGTAATTTATAAAATGGTAAATTATTAAATTTTTTATAGAGCCTTTTTGTTGACAAATAAAAAAGCTGAAATGTGTTGACACTATGACAATTATGTCATAGTGTTACTATGACACTGTGGCTGCTTTCTAATTACATTAGCAGTGGTTAAAAAACTAACACATTGCGTTGAGCAAGTCTTTACTAAGCACAGCATTCAAAGTTTTGAACAAGTGCAGCATACATAAAATGAAGTCATGAAATCAGACATCAAGAGGTGCAAAGAATTTTGCAGTGTTTTTAAAGAACTATTGCAAAATAAAAAGAATTTTGCAGTGTTTTTAATTGCAAAATAAAAACTTTCATGTAGTACTTATGTAAAGGTTTTAATTTTTTTAGTAATGTTTTTAGTTTTTTAATTTTGTTTCTGTTTCTCTAAGTCCAGTTTTTTCTATGAAGTATGTAATTGGTTGTAGTTGTGATATACATATATATTAAATAATAAAGTATATTTATTTTGTAATTTATTTGATTACATTGTAGGCTGTTTAGCATTAATGTAACATAACCAGTTTCATGTAGTAATTTTTAAAAACTATGCTGTAAACATATTCATTATATAATTAAATTTCTTTGAATTGTAGTTTTGGTGCTGATATTCTAAACATTTTTAAAAAGATCGTTTTAAATAAAACTTTAAAATAGAATAAACTTTTTAATTAAAACATTTTCTCACCATAGATTTTGTTGAAGTGACTTCTGAAGAAGTATTAAAAAAAGATAACTTGATTGCAACTTTGCCATTTTTGGAAAAGACATATTTAGTTTCTTTCAAAATAAAACCCACTATGTATGTATCAGAATACAAAAATGTTATTCATTTGACTATCGAAGGAGACGCAGGTGAATTTGGATTTAGAACTCCTAGTGTATATTTTTATTATAACACAGGGAAGCTCTCTGTTTGGTCTGCAATCAGTGGAAATCCTAATAGTGAATTTATCACACTTGAAGCACTATCCTTGAATGAATGGTCCAGTATTAGAATATCTCAAGTTCGAATTAATAGAGTATATTTGTTTAGAGTTTATGTAGATGGGAAGTTAAATATAAACATTGAAAACACAGATCCACATTCATTTGAAAATGTTAAAGTGTATAATGCTGATCCCTGGTATAATGTGCAACTTGGTAGTATTAAAGATCTGAGAATTTTTAACGGAAATGTTGGTAAGATAAAATTTACCTTTTTCAAAAGCTCTTTGTAATATTGATTGTGTTTAAAATGTATATGTATATGTATATGCATATACAATATATATATATATATATATATATATATATATATATATATATATATATATATATATATATATATATATATATATATATATTGTATATGCATATACAATATATATATATATATATATATATATTTATATATATATATTTATATATATATATGTATATACAAACATAAATACATTTATGCATATATTTATACATATGCATAAGTTTAAATATATATGTATATATACTACTGGTCAAAAGTTTTTTATTTCTATTTTAAAAATGCTTATATACAAAGAAAATACTGTTAACAATGTTTAAGCCTACAGTATCACAACATTTTTTCTATAAACAAAATAATTACAGTTAGATTATTATAATTAAACACTAAATAAAAATGTGATCAACGCATTTGATATGATATACAGTTACTACATTTTAAAAAACATGTGACCTCTGTATTCAATTGTTACATTAGTATCTAACTATAGTTTTTGTTAAATTTGTTAGTTTTTCTGATAATTTGTTAATCCACATCAGTGGTGGACCCAGGTTTTTGTTTACCCTGTCCAAAATAAAAGTGCCACACATCATGTTGTAAGTGACATAACTAATCCACCTCTACACATTTTTCACATTTTAACAAAGTATGTTTTTAATGTACATTTTTAATTTTATAATGAAATAGACATTTTATGATGGGATAAAAAGAAAATTTTGCAATTATTGTAAAATATTTTTTTAATTCTAATTTTTCTTATTCACTCCCAACAAGGCTGTAAGCAACCGCTATTAAGTTAGAGTTTGCTAGAAAAAAAAATTGAAAAAATAAAAAAAGCTACTTTAGATGTAAGGTTGCTATGAAGATCATTAATGTAGATAAGAAACAAAATAGGACCAAGGATAGGACCTGGAGGTACCCCAGAAGTTACTTGAAATGAAGAAGAGTTTTGGCATATGAGGGTGACTTTGATAAAGAGGTTAGGAAAAAACAATTTAGAAATGTCAAAAAATTTCCTAGATATACCAAATGTAACAAACATATGGAGACCAGCATGCCAAACTTTGTTGAAAACTTTAGATAAATCAAGAGCTATAGCCCTAGCCTCTTCACATCCATCTAATGCATGATAGAATTTTTCAGTCACAGCAATTAGCAAGTCAGCCACAGAGACAATCAAAAGCTATCTTGATTGTCTGACAGTAAGTTTTTTGACTCAAGATGGGATGTAAGAAATTTTTTGATCAAAGACTCAAAGACCATGCTAATAAGAGAAAGAAGACTGATCGAAAAATAATTGGAGGAGTCAGAATTTTCTCCTAAGTTTTTGAAAATTGGAACAACAGATGCCATTTTCCAGCAGGCAGGAAAACAAGACTCAGTGAAACACTTTATGGTAATTTATGGAGAATTGAAGAGAAAAAAAACATTTTTGTGAGACTATGATTAAAACGTTGTCTGAACCACAAGTCATAAAACAGTTTAATTGAGATGATTTTAACAACTGAAGCGTGTAACAACTGAAGAGTGATTTGAATGTCTAACAATGGGTTTAGCTCTTTAATTGGAATGGAAGGAAGAAAATGGCCATAAGATTCAAGATTCAAGTTAAAAGAAAAATTCTTAGCAAATAGTTCAAGTTTATCTTTGGGAGAGGTAGATCGCAATAAGATCAATCCCATAATAAAGAGGAGGAATGTTAGACTTACCCTAGTTAATGATGTTAAAGATTTTTAAAAAGTTTGTAGAGCCTTACTTCTGAAATAAGGTTCTGGATTTAATAAACTGAGAATAATGGAGCTTAGCATCAAACAGATTTTTTTACATCGATTTCTTGCAATTATAAATATTTGTTTGTTTTCAGAGATTTATTCTTTTGAGAGAGATTTATTCTTTTAGAAAAGTTGAAAAATGATAACAATTACAGTAACTTCCAATAACTTGAACCTTTGATATCTTAAAGTTCCAGTAAATCTAAATACTTTAAAATCCCCATTGAACCCAATATCTCATAAACATCATTTGAAAACCGAACTTTTGCAAACTCAAGCTATTTTCTTGGTCCCTTGTTCAAGATATTGGAAGTTCATTGTAGATATAGCAGCTGGACATTAAGATGAAAACCATGGATTAGAATGAAGCTTGACTTGAAACCAACAAGAAGGAATAAAAGTTTGCTTTCCTGCCTGAATTAAGGAGGTTACATAAGAGGCACATTTATCAGAGGAGAGAGAAATAATATCAGCCCAAAGACCATAACAATGAAAATGACAAAAAGAATTCCAGTTAATTTTGGGATTGTAGTAAGCAGTACAATGATAGGTTGAGTTTGAAATAGAAATGAAAGATTTATAGAGACTATTGCATGGTCGAAACATTTAAAAGAGAGCAAGAAAAAACTAAACACAAGTTAGGGTCAGAGACAAATCAAGGAATTAAGGTTAGTGATAAGGGTTATCTTGAAAATTAACAAAGTTAACTGTCTGCATAAAAGATTAAGAAATGCAGAAGTTATAGGCTTTAGTACTAGCAGTGTCAGTGGTGTTAAAGCCAAGTCATTGCACACACAGTGGTGTTAAAGCCAAGCACAGTGGTGTTAAAGCCAAGTCAGTGCAATGAGCATTAAAGTTGCCATTAACAACAATTTTGGTGGAGGGGTAAAGAGAGGGTATGGTCAATATGATCAGAAGTTACATCTAAAAGAGTGCAGTCTTGGAAAAAAGGAGAATGATAAAGAACAAAGAGAAAGGTAATAGAGTGAAAAGATGCTAAGTGGAAGCACAAAAAATAATGGTCAAAAGATTCAAACTTGATTTCATGACAAATAGGTGCTCAGCCAGCATTTGTTCCTATAAGGATGTCTTATAAACGTTTAGTAGATGTTCTAATCGTCTTTTAAATGTTCAAAAGACTTTTTTCTTCAAAAGAACAAATGCTGACTGTGTGATTTGATACGTATATATATTCACAAGGATGTGATTATTGGAATCTTTTCAAATCAAAGGATAAAACCCAACAACACATAGATCCAATGAAAGACTTTCCAGAATTTAAATTATTCTCACTAAGAAAATGCAAGTCTGATAAATTTTCAAGAGGTAAGATTTAACTGATGGAAGGTTGCTTGACAGACTTCAAAGACTCACAAATATTTGTAAATAATATATTAAAACAGTAAGGAGTTAGGGTTTATGTTTTATATTTTGGATTACTTTTGGTATGATTTAAGTTTTAAAAGAGCTTGACTCATTCTTGACTCACCCTTTGGTAGTTCTCTGAGTGGCCGATTCCATCAACAGCTGTAAAATATCAAAGTATTAACAGTGCCATGTTGTGCATCGATGATGTCCCTATTATTGTTATTGGTGTGCATTCTCAAGGCCACATACGGAGCCCAAAGTTATGACTTTGAGTTAATTATGACTTTTTGCTTAGGAGCTCATGCTCTATCTATAGACTCTATAGACAGTCTCTATGCTTATTTTTTTACATATACGTTGACTTTTAACATTTTTTCTTTGTTTTTTTCTGTCATTTTGCTATATTTTTAAGTAACATTTTTTATAGAATACTCTTGATTATGATAAAGATAATTTGATGGTATTTTGTTTGTTATGTTTTCATCTAAATGTTCTAAAAAATCTTTTAAAAAAAAATTTAGGAGTAATGAAAAAAATTAAGTTTTGTTTTTATAGAATCAAAGTTTTTTACATCTATATAGTTGCGGTATTTTGAATCCTTATACAGATTAATGTCAATACCAAAACCCTCAGTTGGTGTATGTATTGAAACCCCTGCAGGTCTTTACTTCAGTTTAATGCCATCAATGACCTTTTATGCTAAGTGTACAAAGATTATTGTATATATACAATAGTCTTTGTAAATAATAATAATAATATATATATATATATAAATTCAGCACTTTCACTATTTGCATACGCATAATTTTTTTTTTTTTATCGCAGTCAACTTCAAATGAGTGTTCTTTGAAAAAATGAATAATTTTTTTAATTTAATGATAAAAGAAAACAGAATTAAAAACTTTCAAATTTTATTATTATCTTTAATTTAATTAGAGAACAATAAGAGTGACAAAAATAAGATCAAAAAAGGTGCGCAAATATGTTAGCGCACTTACTATCTTTCAAAGATTCTAAGGAACTTTAATAATTTATATAGCCACCTTTGTTTTTAAACTCTTGAGTCTTTTTTCGTATCTTATTCTTTTAAGAAATTTTCTTAGTCAATTATGTACTCATTCCAATATAGATGTTCAGCAATACTGTATCCAAGATGGTAGGCAATTATAGTTTAAAATCATGAAACATCTATTTGTCAATATAAATAAAGGTTTGCTTGATCATGCAAGCACTTAGTTTGCTTGAGATGCAAAGCTAATCACAAGTTGCTATTACTTAAGGTTAGCCAAGAAATTGATATTATTCTCATACATTGACTTTTCCAAAGTTTTTATATTGTCTTTATTTTATTTGAGTATAGAGTAATTGTGATTTGGATTGTTTTTTCCAATATGTATACCATGACACTTTTTACCATTAAACTTGATAAGTCATTTTTTTGACCATAAGTCTGCCAAATAAATTTCCAAACATTGGCACTTATGCCAATTCACAGTTATGCCAGTTTGCACTTCTGCCAGTTTTTGTAACTGTTTTGCACTTATGCCAATGTTTGTAAAATCTTTTGGCGCACTTATACCCATTCGCACATATGCCAGTTCGCACTTATGCCAGTTTTTGCAATGCTTCGCACTTTTGCCATTTTGCACATATGCCAATTTGTGCTTATTCAGCGTCCCGAATAAATTTGAATAACTAAAACAAGAAAAATTCACTATTTAGTATCAATGAATAACAATTTACTATTATTGCATATTAGTTATCATTAGTTATCATAGTTGTAATGTTGCTTCTCTTTCTCTTTTATACAAATATTATAACGAGCACTGCTCTAAAGAGCTAGTGTCTCTTGTGCCATCTACTAAAATTTGTTTTTGTGTTACTTGTCATTCAATTAAGTCTCATCCTTTTTCTGTTACGGTTCCTAAGAGCTCTAAAAACTCTTATTCCTCTAGAACATCATTTTTCCTAGAACATCAGTTCTTTGGAATTCGCTTCCTTTATCTTGCTTTCCTGATTCATATAATTTACAATCTTTTAAGTCGTCTGTCAATCATTTTCTTGCTCTACAATCTTTATCTTTTCTCTTCCAATAACTTCCAACTCTAATTAGTGGTTGCTTGCAGCCTTGTTGGAGGCGAAGGCATTTTAAAAAAAAATTATGATGATTAGTTAAATTTTTCATAAAATTATATTAGTTAATGTGTTATAAAGTTGTATATTATTCACAACAGTTGTTTAAGTTAAATAAGGAGAGAATGTTAATTATGATAATTAATTATGATAAGTAAATTTAGATTTGCATAAGAGTTAATTTCCTTGTTGTTTATTAATTTGTTTTAAAAATTTATTGGTCCTAAATTTTATAGGTTAACCATATGGCAAAAGTTATGCATTGTAACTTTAGGACTATTCAGTTTAAAGTTTTGGTTTTTTAGCCAGGTTGATATTTTAGGAAAGAAATTATGACAAAATTGGAAAGATGATTATCAGATGCATTGTCTGAGGGACAGGGTGTTTAATAAATTTTGCAATTAGTATTTCTGCAAAAGTCATTTTAGGTGATGGTTATTTGCAGGTCGCATATACAGATGGTTAAGTATTTGCAGGTCGCATATGCTTTTGAAATATATCTTACTGCAATAACAAGAAAAAAGGGGTTTTTTGTTGATTTTATAAATTCACTATTATATGCAATCGTATTAATTTAATATTTGTATTTTTATAAGTATTTTTATTTGATTAAAAAATTTTTGAGCTGGCTTTCTTAAAATTTGCTTCAAGAACAAGCTTGTTTAAAAATTAATACCCAATAAATGTTTGGTTTTAGTTGTTTCTTTGTTTTTTAATTTATTTTATTATCAATTATAGTTCATGTATAACAAACAATAAATAATTTTGCGTAAAACATATTTAAAATACATTTTACAACATTTTAGAGCAACTAATAGAAGATAGAGAAACGCCTTTGGTTCAAAACAAACTAGTGGCAATTGTTCCAATATTAGATAAAGCTTATAAAATTTATTTTGATGTGAAACCAAACTCATATTCTGAAGGTTGGCACAATGTTATTCGTTTCAACATTGGTTCTGATGCGAATGTATTTGATGATAAAGTTCCAGGAGTGTGGTTTCATAACAGTGGTGATGGCAGTCTTTCTATCACTGTTCCTCAAAGTGGAAATCTTGACAGTTCATTTAAAACAGCTCCTATTCCTCTTAACACGTGGTCACACATTGAAATAAGTCAACAGTTAGATTATGTTGCATATGTGTATACAATAAAGTTGAATGGAGAAAAAGTTTTTGTAGTTGAAAATGTTCTGCCAGAGTCCATTAAAAATGTTTATGTTTATGCTTCAGATCAATCATATCAAACTCAAGATGGTTTCATAAAAGATTTTGCAATTATAAATGGAAAAGCAGGTACTTATAAAGAAATTGAAATTGCTACATTCTTTGATAAATCATTTTAATATTTATTACTATTATATTTAAATATTAATTTAGCTGATAAATTTCTTGGCATCTAGCCAGAAATTGCTTTAAAAATAAAGCTTATCTGTTTTAGAACCCATTTTTTAATGAGATACTCACATCAGGCATATACATTATTTAAAGTAGTGTTTTTTAAATAAGTTTTTTATGCTTTTTGGGGAGAAGTAATTTTGAATAAACGTTCTTAATAGAGTTAAGCATGTAGAATTGGCAAAGTTTTTTAAATTTAAGATCAGTAAACTTTTTAGCTTGAGATTTTTTAACTGATTATTTGTGGACAGTAAAATAAATAAAAAGTCATCTATTTGGGTTTTATTTCTTGCGTACCACTAAAAACTTAATTTTATTGGCTGTTACATTTTGACTTAATATATTAAAAGATTTGAATGATTCCAGATTAATATGCCCTCAAGTATTATTTTATCTATTTCTTTTTGAGCATTATGCAAAGATAATAGTTTAAACTTTCAACTTATGATTACTGATTTATTTATTATAAACAAATTATTAATCAGAAAGGAAGTTAAATTATTAATCAGAAAAGGAAAGTTTTTGTTTGAGAAGTATTAGAGTAAGAAGTTGAGAAGGAAGAAGAAGAAGAAGAGACATTAGTTTATAATAGTTTTTAAATAAACTATGGGGTATTTAGTTTCGTGTATTTTTAGTTGGCTAACTGCTATGCCAAAGACTTCAGATTTACATACAAAAATGTAAATTAAAGTAAGTTTTTAATAAGTTTGATCTCAGATTTGTTTTTTAGACAACGGACGTAAATGGTACACTTTTAAATTTTACATCTTCAATGAATGGCACACTGCAACCTTTTTTTCTAGTGGTTTTTTGGTATAGTTGGTATGATTGCTTTCCACGATAAAATAGAATTGCTAAAAGTTTCTTTTAAATTTATTCACATATTAGTACATTGTTTGGTTTATCAGTTCATTAAACTTTTTTTACATTCTGGTCTTATCTTTTATAGTCGTTCCAGTTTGAATAGGCATATTTAATAAACTGTTCTTATTTAAATAAAATAAGAAATCAAAATCAAAAACTAGTATCTTATGTAGTCTTAAAGCAGCAGTGATGGCTTCTGCTGCTCTTTTAGAAGCACTTTGCGTAACAGATTCTCTAGAATGTCTTAACATATTCCTACAGGTTTCAAGATTGGTTTAAATAATTATTAAGGCTTTTAAAAGCACTTATTATACATAATAAACGATGACATAGTACTGATACATTAAAAAAATAATAATAGTAATATAAAATGGATCTAATGGTGTTATAGGTAAAGTTTTTATCCATTTTAGAATTTGCTTCATAAGTTCTTACAGTTTTTTTAATCTTTTTATAATTTTTAAATAATTTGGTAGTAAAGGATAAGCATTGTACTTTTTTGCATTTAGTAAAGTTGAATCCTTAAGGTGGGTTTCAATTTGTCCATTTTTCTATGGAAACAGTAATAATCATGTCAGTAGTTTTACTTCGGAAAAAAATGGACATTTAAATTATGCATACTCGGTGTAATTTTTTTTTTTTTTCCTTTTCCTGTAAATAGATAAACGAACTAGTGGAAACTCACTGATAGGTTCAACATGCTTGATATAGATTTTTATTTATGTAGTCTTTTTATATACTTTTATTTTTACGCTTGATGCAGCTTAGTTGTCTATTTTATTTAGATAACATTTCGTTGACAAATGTTGAGCTTGTTACAAAAGGTAGGGTTTGTTTAATAACAAAATATAATATTGAAGTTTGTTTGTATAAGCGTTTTTGTTAACAGTACTTCTTGTTATCAATATTTCTTGTGAACAATCGTGTGATTTAATTTCTATTTAGATTTTGTTTTTTCTACTGAAGAGGTATTGAAGATGGATAATTTTCTTGGATTGTTGCCAATACTGAAAGAAACATATTCTATTTCTTTTAAGATAAAGCCCACTTCATATTTGGTAGAATGGAGAAGTGTTATTCATTTGACTGTTGGTGGACCTGAGAGTAGGATTCCTGCTATGTATTTTTATAATGATACAGGAATGCATGTTTGGTCTGGAAGTAGCGTTTATATTAAAACACCCAAATTACCGCTCAATACGTGGTCAGATATTAAAATATCTCATGAAAAAGTCAATGGAATTTATTCATTTAGGATGTATATAAATGGAACAAACACTAATAATGTCTTAAATATAGTTTCAAAATCGTTTCAAAATGTCAAGGTATATGCATCAAATCCGTGGTATGGTCAACAATTTGGTTCCATTAAAGATTTGAGAATTGTAAATGGAAATTGATAATAGCACTCTAAAGTAATATTTGTAAATAAAGGTTGGAGTTGCGCAATCGCATCTAGTAGCATTTTTTTTTTCAATGTTTGGCTTTACATTCATTTTTATATTTTACAACTTAAGCGTTATGTTTAGACGAAATACTAGTTCCTTAAACTTCACGTTTTGAAGTTATTTTAACTGTACTGATACTGTATTACAAGTATTAAAAATATAAAGATATATATTTTTTTAGTATAAAAACTTGCTTAACCAATTGTTGTTTTGTTATTTCTGTGTATTTTTAAATGACATTTATGTTATATGAATATATACAGTTGAATCATTGATAGCTCGACTATATACAGCCTAATAACAAGTAGTAATAATAATTAAAGTTCATTAACATAAACAATGAAAGCAGCAACAAACCTAGATAGTAGTTGAGGCAGTGGCTTATCTAAATAAAGTGGTAATCCTAGTATATATCTGGATGCGGCCGCAAAATTATACTCTAATATTATTCTTTGGTTAGTAATTTTTTTTGGCCACATAAATAATTTACATCAATCATTGAATAAATATATAATCAATTTTGTTTTCGGTTCCACGTCTGTCAGCTGCGGCAACAGACGTCGTTGCCGTTGTTTCGCTATTTTTGTTTGATTTAATCACCTTTCATTATTTTTAGTTCTTTGTAAACTTTGATTGATTGATTGATTGGTTTATTATTGGGTTTGAACAAATATAGATTCAATTAGTACTAATGTAATTACGCCTATATTTGCTTATCGGGTATGGCAAGATGCTACTAATCTCTCTTTTAATTTTCTTCGTTTAATATTATTATTGTTTATCATTATGTGCGTTTATTATTGCAAGTTGAAGTGAGAACTTCTGTATTATGCGGTTCTTACATTTTACTGTCTATATCTGTGTTGAAAATAAATCTGTTGTTTATATCTATTATATTTGTTGTGTAATGTTGTCTCCATATCCACTTTTTTTTTTTAATTTTGATGTTGCTAAATTTGGAAGAGACTTGAGTGTTTGCTTTTTTTCTAGTGAAATCTGTTTTATTGCAATAATGACTTACATGATGTATGCTACAAGCGTTCGAATCCGGCTAAATGACTTCATTACTACATCTTTTTTTATCTGTATTTATAGTCCTACTAGTTTGAAGTTATAATCATTGATTGTGCACATGAGGGTGGGTCGTACTTTTTAAATTTTGGATATGGGAGCGCGCGCGATACTTTTTTTATGTATGCGGATATTAGAAGAGACGTGAACAATTTTTTTTTTATTAAAAAGTTTGGTGGGGGGGTGCAAGTCGTTTGAAAAATAATAGTGTTACTAAAAACTCAACAAAGTGGCAATTTTCTGTCCTTTTTTAAAAAAACTTTTGGGAATGCATTTATCAAAAATAGTTAGACGTTAGGCCGGGTAAATAAAAAAAAGCAATTACTTTAACTCAGCGTTTTTGGATTAATTGTTCAGCTTTACGTGAAGAAAACTTTTAGGAAACTCGCTCAAATTTTTATTCACGTAAAGCTAAGGAATTTACTCCAAAAACGCTGAATAATTGATGACTTGCAAACGTTACATTCTCGTTTTCAGAAAAACATGCGTGCCCATTCTTGTAGGCAAAAAAAAATAATCAAAAACTCTACAGCAAAAAACATTATGATGTTTGTATGTTTTGTTAGGAAATTTATTCACTTATTAATTTTTTAACAAGAATTATATTATTTCAACCAGTTGTTATGTCATCAGTTACTCAAAAAGATGTGAAAACTAATGTGGATTTAAAACTTATATAGTTTCTTTTGGAAAACCAGCTTTTAAAAGAAGAAGACGTAGAGACTGGATTAAAGCAATCCATAACATTTCATAAAATCGAAGTTGCTCCAATTTCTAATTAGATCCAAAAAAGAAATGAGTAATGTCTTCTAAAGTATATAAACGAGGATCTTTATCAATGTTATTATCTACGATATGGAGCTTAATAACTATACTGAGAAAATAAATTATGACACCAAACCACCTAAGAATAAGCCTACTTTTTCTAAATATTTTCGACACAATATTTACAAAACAGAATTTTAAATTTTTTACTTTCAATTTAATGCAGCAACTTAATTGAAATATTGAACTTGAAAAATAAGCTTCACTTGAACAAAGTAAACATATTTCATACCAAAATTAAACATCAGATGACCAAAAAAATTTTTTTTTTTTTTTAGACTTATTTTAAATGGTAATGTAGCTCTTTAAAAAAAGTTAAAACTTACTTCAATCACGCTTGATGATAAAAGACCTTTATTTTGTGCTTATAAAGCACAATATAACAAAAAAATTTTAACCTCATGATAGCAAACTTGGTTTAGTTATAGACATATCAATACCATTAATGTTTAATTTAAAGTTTAACAAAAACTAGCTGGGACAACTAGTTTTTTTATCTCCTAACTGGGTGATTGTGTATCAGATAGATGACTGTTTCAGAATAAACTTTTATCAGAAACCTTGCGGCTATATTTTTGCTGATAAAGTGCTGATTCCTATCATTTACTGATGTTATTTGATAACTATTGTGTTTTTTATGTAAAATAATATGATTGTATCTTTAGGTTATACATTTATTAGTTTGTTGAATATATTGTTCTATACTAGCTTGAGTTTTAAACGCTATTAGTGCAACATTAAAAATCATAGATTTTACAAAAGACTACAATTATCTGGACGCAAAATCTAAACTGATGTCTAATGTTCCTAAACATAATGTTCATGAATAGAGGAATTTGATGCATAAAATGTTTCCTGTTAATTATAAGACTGAGATTATAAGACTGTGACCATTTGTTAGATAATATAATGTTGAATATGAATGCCTTTTTAATACTAGTGTTGTTGATTAACTTAAATGTATATAATCGAGGTGGCCAGCAAATTTTCACGTTCATTCTCCAAGATTTTTTCCTAAAACTTAAATATACAAAGCAATAAAAATTTTACATAGCACTTTACTTTTACCCAAAAACATAAACTTGCTTCAAAAATGCTCTCATTGACTTTTAAATAATGATGTTATTATGAGAATTTAAAAACATTTTTTGCAATCTTATTTTGATTGTCAATTCAAATAATAATTTATTTTTACGAAACCGAATATAACTTAAATTTATTAACTCAAATAAAAACTATACTTGAAAATACTTTAGTCATGTCAACTTTTAAGTATTTTTTAAAAACATCAACAAAATGGAAACTTCACGAAATGAAGAATTACAAACAATTTTTATTTGCAATTAAGAAATCTAATTATCTTCACCTCGGTTAACTTGGAAAAAATCGAAATCTCAACACTTAATTTGATAATATAAATAAGAATTGGACAGAATCTGACTGGGTTGCGAATATATGAATGTCAAAAGAAGCTTCTATATACTAATGCTCAGAATTAGCAATATTTATAAAAACAAGACACTAGTTTTAGAAACACTGTTTCAGTTGAACAGAAAGTTGCAGTAACGATAAGCAACCATTTTGGTCTGTGTTTTTCAACAGTATGTCAATTAATTTATTGGTAACACCAAGGACGTATTAATAGATGGATGTTAAACGTATTGTTTAAAAGCCAAGATATCCGCGCTATTCATTGTTACAAATAACAATAGCAAAACAATAGAGAACTATTTTTAACTTGAGAATATTTTTACTCGATTTTATGTCAAAATATCGATAGTCTCATCCAGCCTTAGAAATATTTAAACATTCCATTACACCTAAAAACTCTAAAAAGTTTTTAAAGAAATAAAACCTTTTCAATATATGATCTATAAACTCAAGCGAAATCTTTACATGGAAAAAAAAAAGTTAATCACAGAAAAATATTAAAACAAAATTGTAAGTGAGACAAAATTTCCGACAAAAATGAGAAATTTAAATACTTAAAATAATAGTGAAAACTAAGTGTAGGGAATAGAGACCACAAGTAATCTATAGTTCGATCTATATATGATCTACAGTTTTACCTACAACATCTAGAAAATTCGTTTCACTTTGCAGTATTCATTCTTGCAAACTAAATATCACTTTTTTACAAAAATATGATTTTTGACGTCTTAGTTTTATTAATAATAAGTTCTTATTAAAAAGCGCTCACGTATCAAATTTGACATTTTTAAAACAGATGAGCTATTTCTGTATAACTATTATGCACTAACTTTTTAAAAAAGCTATAGTTTTGTAGGTAATTGTACTTTTTAAAAAAAATAGTTAGAAAAGCAAAATTATCGGAATAACGTCGGTTTACTTTTATAAATTTTGCAGAAAAATGACCCTAAAAATTATAGCTCGCATAGGTTTTCGTTTACTTGCGGCGCCTCAGATCTATAACAATGGGTTAAACGTCCATCTATTAATACGTCTTTAGTAACACATACAACTGTTGATAACTTGCTAATATATATATATATATATATATATATATATATATATATATATATATATATATATATATATATATATATATATATATATATATATATATATATATATATATATATATATATATATATATATATATATATATATATATATATATATATATATATATATATATATATATATATATATATATATATATATATATATATATATATATATATATATATATATATATATATATATATATATATATATATATATATATATATATATATATATATATATATATATATATATATATATATATATATATATATATATATATATATATATATATATATATATATATATATATATATATATATATATATATATACCTCAAGAAACAAAGGTAAAAGGAATTATGAAACAATTATGAATGTCGAGTTTTCCGCTTGTTGTTGGTGCAGTTGGTGAATATCATATAAGAATAAAAGCATTGAAAGAGAATCCAGAGTATTAAATTAATCGCAAAGATTATCATTCGATTAATCTTCAAGGTCTTGTTGACAGCAGATATCTTTTCGGAGACATATTCGTTGGTTGGACAGGTAATTCTCACAACTCTTGCGTGTTTAAAAGCTCTCCTTCATACTTAAAATGCCAGCAAATAAGTTTCCTATCAAGTAATTTCTCAAGAAACATTGCAGGAAAAGAAATATCTCCTTTAATTTTAAGGGATTCTGCATACTCATTGGAAGAATGACTAATGAAACCTTGTTCAGATCGCGGGATTCTCTCAAGGAAAAAAATAAGTCTCAACTTTTCACTAAGTAAATCTCGTGTTATAGT